CTTTTGTACAGCCACAGTATTGCAACAGTAAGAAAACATGAAGGTTTTTCCATTCAAGTTAACCTTACCCCCAAACCGCTTTTTAATTTTTTTTTCCCCTCTTATGACATACTTGCCCTTAATGATTCCCTACTTCCTACTTAGTACTTAAAAAAGCAGGTGACGTTGGAACAACTTCTGCCTAGCAGGAGTGTTTTATCCGACAATTGTTTTAGAAACGGCTAAATTGAGCTGAGTTGTTACTCAGGGGGAAAGAAAAGAGACAAGCTGTTACAGGCCTAAGGGCTCCTGGTCCTCTGGTTTGGCGAGAAGGAGGTCCTGCTAAACCTAGGTGCCTGCTTTGTTCTGGTCGTAGCGTTTAGTCCCCAGTCGCAGGTCGAGGAACGGGGTGCTAATTTTTGTGAGGGAGAGATGGTGGAAAGAGGAGGCAAACCGGGCCATACAACATGTAAAGAGTTTATTATATTAATTGCTTATAATTTTGGTGGTTCCAGTTACAGGAAGTATTTGCTGTATGCATGCCTCTGAAGAGCGTGCAGGCACCGTGATACAATGAATGCTTCGTGGCAAAGCTGTTTAAAATTGAATTGCAAACTTGACTTGGCATAAATATTAAACCATATGCCAGTGTGTTTAATTGGCTTAATAAACATTCATACACAAATTTAAATTTGTAGTTCTGGCACTTGGAGAAACAGGTTTAGTGCTTGTTCCTGAGGTTGGTTTTGGTTTTATTTTCAGATACTGCTAGAAAGACTGATACCAGGAAGTTTATGGAAACCCCTGCTTTACTTTTACTACTGCAACTTACACAAAAGACGAAAATAAGCTGTGAACAAACAAAACTCTTTTGATCAAACTTTTAATCTTTATGACTATTGGTTAACAATGGTTTTATTTTTCTTTTTAATGATTCAGTTGTTATACAAGAAGACGGCTCCAAAAAGGAGTATGAAGTAGTCGGACGTTTTCCATTAGTTGACCCTTGGTGGAGAGTTAATGTTAAAGCTAAAAAAATGGGGTCGAAGTACTTTGTACAAGGATATCCATCATATTTTCTGCGGACTGATATAGAAGAAAACAACCGACAAATCTTTTCACTGTTTCTTAAGGAATGTGCCGTTCCTGATGCTTTTAAAGAAAAGTTTTTTACTTGGCTTCCTGCGGAATCTATGCTGAGTTTTAGAAATCTTGAAGAAAAACTAAAACAGTTCCAAGCTTCACACTTACATACAGGGAAGAATCAAAGAGACACCAAGGATCATGACATCTTCTACTACGTTTCAAAGTCACGTAGGTATATCCTGTGCTATTTTGATTGGTTTATAGGCTAATGAGTTCTATCTTAGATACTGTGTTCAAGCTAACATGCCTTTATATGAAGTGTATATTCAAATGAACTTTAACCATGCAAAGATTTCTTCTTTTTCTTAAATTTGAGGACAGTGGGACAGCTGACCAATTAAAGATAGGCATACAGTTAGAAATGCCTAAGGAGTTTCCTGAATTCTGTAGGCTTACTAAGTACAAATTGTCTGTGCTAGGGATGCAGAGACACGGGTGCTGGCTTCCTATGGTTTATTCAGATACAGCAAGGCTTAGGATTCAGCACTGTTTAAACATGGTGATATGGCTTTTTAGGACAAATACGTGTTCAGAAATAGTATAGCTGCTGCTTTGTAGTGCAGGGGAACAGCGAATGAGCTCTGCCTAGTCCAAATCAGCTGCACTAAATAGGGCTGTGTAGGTATATTTGAATCTTCCCCGTCAGCAGGTAGGTGTGGCTGGGGAGCAAAATGCAGAAACACTGGCGTGTCTCCACAGGGAGATGGGTCAGGACTGCTGAGGATCCTTTTGTGGACTATGCTTGTGTGACTACTTGAATGTTAGGGACTGGATCAGGAGTGTGCTTTTGAGGCGAACATCCCTCTTGTCCAAGTTGTGGTGCAGTCTCTGAGAGTACTAACTGTATTCATGCTGAATGACACCCAAAAGGTGTGTTCCAGTTGCACACCTAAGGTACTCCAACTCCTAATGGGCATTCAGCCTGTGGGACCAGACTATAGCTGGTCTGAAGCAAAACACCAAAATACAGAGAATCAAGGTGCCTGGGATGTGTCTTCAGCCCTAGCTCTTTTGTTTTGCTCTGATGATCTGTTTCCTCTGTGCCCCATTCCTAAAAAAAGGCAGCCCTGGGTTGGTGCTGTACAGAGCCACTGAGGTGTCGGTGCTGTGGGACTCTACTCTGAATTGGAGGAGGTCTTTTAAATTCACCCACAACTGTGTATAAATCTGTATAGATGGGTTTGGGTCTATCTATGAAGTCTTCCAGTACCTGGTTTACTGGGCTGTGGCAGGTCAAAAGATGGAGGTGACTGTTTTGGAGGTCAGATCATGTCTGACAGGAGGGTTCATAGCTTCTGCTAGACTTTACTCCAAATCACACATATAAGGAGAGGAAAATTTTCACAGTTTTATGGACTTCAGGCTTTTTGTTGTGTTTTTGTAATGGTAGAAGATTTAATGTCTGTTTACAGACATTAAATCTTCTAATGACCACAAAGAAGAGGGAATCTATAGTGGTAGAAACTCGGATCTAGTTTGCTGCTTGAGTTTTAAAATGGGGTGTATGGATCACTTCTGGTTGAAGCTTGTCTAACATGTTTATTAATCTTCAGTGTTGAAGACTGCACTGTGTATCTAGGTATGCTGTTCTTGTAGTTGGCAGACTTTTCCTAATATTTAACTTAAATGACTGTGATACAAATTAAGCTTTCTTCTTTCTCTGTCATCGGGCAATAGAAACAACAACCCACCCCTTGTATGTCATGTTGTTACTATGACTGTTGTCACTTTTTCCCAGTTGTTTTTATGGGCTCAAGCAGTTTGTTATTCAAGCCTTCATGACACTTTTGTCTAGCAGTAGTGTGTGTTGATTCTCCACTTGCAAATTAAGTATTTGCTTCACAGGGAAAAGGTTTTTGTCTTTGCCTTTCTGTAGGTAAGACAGTGATCGGAAAAGGTACTTAACTGAGAAAAGAGAGGTTTAAATTTGGAATTATGAAGTTTCCTTTACACTCCATTAAAAACTTAAGGTTTTTTTTTTTTTTTTTTTTTTTTTTTTTTTTTTTTTTTTTTTTTTCCTGTGAAGAGATAAAACTTCTGAGTGTCTCACTTTCTTCTAAAATTTGTTTTTTTAAAGCAAGGTATAGAGCAAATCGTTTTCATTGTCTGTTTTCTTATTTTGACTTTTAAATATTCTTCTTTACATCTCTGCGAAAATTCTCTCTAGGCAGGAGAGACAGGCATGGTGACATCTGAACTGACGTTCTACAAAATGGTATTCAGTAGCCTGTTTAAACCAAATGTATAATGTATTTTTCAAATGAGTACATTTAGTTGCAGTTTTTATCTGTCATCTGGTTATGTTCTTTTTCCCAAGGCAGTCCAGGGAAAGTAGACTTTAAAAGAATTTGAAAAGGATTACAAAGAATAAGAAATTGAAAGAAATTAGGTTGTTTTGGATGTAGGGGAGGCAGAAGGATAGAGCCAGAGTCAGTTTAAATTGCCTTTACAAATACCTTTGTATATTGCTTAAAACTTTGTTGGTTTATGGTGCATACAGTTGCAGGGAAGGCAGTATTGGTAGCTCTGACTTTTCCGGTGATTCTGGAATTCTTGCCAATTCTTCTGCCGCGCCATTTTTGCTCTCTGTTGGATATGACGTGTTGGCAAGGAGAGACTGAAGAAAGCAATGGTGAGGAAGTACATTATCAAGACAAGATGCTAACAAAGTTGGATGAGATATTAAGGAATGAGCCATGGAAGCTTGGATTCAACAGGGTAAGTAATGTTAAGGAGGATAAAAAAATGTGGTGTTTGTTGCATTTGAGCTTCATTAGAATACAGTGCTGTTTCCATTACGTACAGTTTATTAACTGGGCATTTGTAGAAGGTAAGTTTAGTTCATTTGGAAATGGATGATTTACTGGACTCAGTTTTAGCAAAGTTTTTTTCTCCAGTTTGTCTACAATAAATCAGTCTCAGGAGATTTTTAAAGGTGGTTTTGTAACAACCATTTGCTTAGTCTTTTGTACAAGGAACAGAAAACTAAATACTTGGAGGTAGTTGGGCCAAAAGTAAGAAAACTAATTTTAAACCCTCAATTGTACCGTTCAGTTTTGCAAATGAGATTTTCTATTCTTAATACATAAAACAGCATCTATGCTTTCATGGTAAGGTAGATAAGTTACTCTGTAATCGGGCATCTGCTCTAGTCCTTTTTTATAATGGGATCTGCGGTTGCTACTTACCTTCTTGTTTTCCTTTGCTGTGCTTGCTGTGCAACTTGCTGCTGCACCTCACCTTAGCACTCCTGTACCTCAGATGGGAGCTATAGCTTAATAGTTCAGAAACGTGATTAGGGAATCCCTCTGCTTCGGCTTCCCAATGCTTTTACTTAAGGATGTTCTGACTTGTCTTTAAGACCTCCAGTTTCAGAGATTCAGCAGCCTAGCCAATTTATTCCAGTGTTTCACATCCTTTCCTTCAAAAAGCTTTTCCTGATGTCCAATTTGACTGTTCCTTGATGCAATATAGACTTGTTGCTCTGTTGTTTCTTATATCAAGGACTTGCATTCTCTTTTTTTTTTTATTTCTTGAAGACTCTCTTTTGCTTTTTCTCTTAAGGCTCAGCAAGTCCAATTCATTTTTCTTGCCCACTGTAATTCATCTTTGCACATCTCGGTCTTCCACTATTTTGCGGTAGGCTCTGTAAAGGTTGTGTATTTCTTGAAGTAGCATGTTCAGAACTGGGTACAGTATTCTGGCTAATGCCTTTCCTATGCTCTGTTTCTACAGTTTTTGTGCCTTTACTTGAAATCATGCTAATTAGGTGTGCACAAGTTCTCCGTTGCGCCAGGTTCTTGATTTTTAAAGTTTCTGTTTTATACAGAAAGGTGACTGGGAGGAATTATCATGCCATCTTAATTTTAGATATCTTGCTTGCATATTGCTTGAAAAGCATTTTAACTTTGTACATTATGAAAAATACATAATTTTTTGTAGACTTCCACCCTTTGAATTGCAGTTTGTATTTACTAGGAGGAATGTTGTTCAGCAAGGGGCTAACATCTTCTGAAATAAGTATGTTTGCTTTTATTCTTTTTGGGGAGAAGATTACCTATAGGGAACTGAACCTTTCTTACTGTGAGGCAACATGGGCCGCCTTCTGTCAGTGTGAACATCTCCTCCGGAAGATTCCTGACTTGCAGAAGAATGCATTAATTCTGTATGATCAACTCAAGAAGCAGTGTAGAGAAATGGGACACACTTACGAAGATCAAGATGAATTAGCTCGTTTTGTATCTAAAGATATGTCCATTGAGCATGTTTGGCAATCTCTCGAATTTTTGAAAGATCAGAAAGTAGTGATTAGGGAGAAAAAACTAGTGTTTCTGCCTCATCTTTATAAATCTGAAAAAGACATTGCAATGTATATAGGTGATCTTCTGTCGAACCACTCATGGCAACTGGATGTTGATGTGAGAAAGATACTTAACATTTCTAATGTTACCCAGGCTCATGAAATGGAACATCTGAAGGAAAATAGTGTGGACAACCATAACTGTGAAAATCACTTCCCTGAAAGGGAAGTGGGGTCTATGTCTGGTACCCAAAGTAAAGCAGAGGTAGACTCGGATCAGGTGATTGCTATGGAAAAGATTTGTTCTAATGCTGTCACAATCATAAGTGGAAAAGGAGGCTGTGGGAAGAGTACAATAGTTAGCTGCCTTTTTCGTCACTTAAAGCAGACGGAAAAAGAAGTGGAAGCTGCTTCTAAGGACTTTGAAGAAGACCTGGATGCGTCTGAGGAATGGAATACCTTTGATCATCACTGGGAGCCAGAGAATATGGACACACAAAAAATTTTGAACGTACTATTTACTGCACCTACAGGGAGGGCGGCAAGCCTTTTGAGTGAAAAAACTAAACTTCCTGCGTATACACTGCATCAGGTAAGGATTTTGTTTTCCCCCCCCAAAATGGTGTTCTGAAAGACCTTTTGACACTGTCCATTCCTGTTTTGAAAAAAAAGCTCCTTATTGAAATTTTCTTATGAAATGTGTAGCTGGTAATGATGATGCTTAGGTACAGCTTGTCAGCATTTGAAAGTCAGTGTTACATTATAGGGAATCGTAAATCAATCATTTGAAATACATTATTTGCTGTAGCTTTGGGGTTTATTTTCTACTTACACACATCTCAAATTTGTGCCTTTCTAGGGCATCTGGTTTTCTTAGCTTTTGAGGGTTTTTTTCCAATTAAGAGAGAAATACTTTCTGGATGGCAAAGCTGTTTTCTAGTGTCCCGTTGCCTAGCAATCATACTGCTACCTGCACATACATGAAGAGATCAGTAGCCTGAGGTTGAATAATGAGATAAATTTCATTCACACAGTGTTTTCTTAATTACTGTTAAATATTGTGCAAATCTTTTTAGAAAAAAGTAGAAAGCAAACTTTTTGTTAATAAAGTTCGGTCAAGTCTCTGTCGTCCAAGGTAGTGGAAGGTGCCAAGAAGATGTTGGAGCTGTGGAATAACCTTTATGAATCAAAATTGTAATAACATAAAAAGTATTGTGGGCTTATTTTATCTTTGGGAACTGGACAGCTGCTTGTTCTCCTTCCCCATGCAGTGTTGGGGCTTTACTGATGTCAGCAAGTTGTAGTAGGAGGTGCTCTGTAACTGAGCAACCTAATGGCTGACCTTATATCCTTTAGGGTCCCTACAGAGAAAAAAAAAAAAAAGAATGCATTTCTGTGCTTTTATGTAAGTAAGTGTTGATAATCTCAGCTATAAGTGTATTCTCCAAGGAGGAAAATAAGACTGAACGGTTGAGTCTTCTGAGTCTTTACACTTTTAATTTCAGAATTTCAGAGAATAGCTCTAAATATAACTTTAGAAGATACCACACTCTGGCTACCTTTATAATACAGTCGTTTACAGTTGCTTAGCATCAGAGCTTGATTTATTTTTATCTGTTTCTAGATCATCTATAGTTTTAAATCATGGAGGCAGAGTGAACAAGTACAGCCATGGAAGTTTTCTACGGTGACAATTCTGATTGTGGATGAAGGAAGTTTGGTGTCTGTGCATGTTCTTAGTTTAGTTTTAAAACTCTTGCGTGAGCATGCTCAGCTTGCCAAACTTATTATTCTAGGTAAGTGAAACAGCAAATTTAGCATTATACAGTATCTAATAGTGTACAATATACAGTGTAAGTATTGGAGTTGCCACTGGTCTCACTGAGTCTCTTAAAAAATCCAGAATGCTCTGTACTTGAATATTTCTGCTTATTCGTAAGGTCAGATGAGATAGAAAACTGTCTCAACTGTCCATATGAAAGTATCAGTATCTCTGTTCTCTGTTTAGCAGTGTTTTGTCTGATTCTGAAAGTATTACGACTTCTATGTGGTAGCATATTAATCACACAGTAGAAAGGAGGTTTTGTGTCATTCATAATCCTAGGATCATCTTGTTTTAATTCAGAAAGGAAAGCAAAGAAGTGTAAAATGAAAATTTACTGCTTTCTCAGAGGTTTGCTTTTTGGTGTGCCATTTAAGGCATTTGTTTTTAAATGTGTAACTTCCAAAATGTGTTTGAGTAAGATGTGATCACTGTCAGTGTTAATCATGCAGAGTGATTTGCACCTGCTAGTAAAGCATTACTGAGTGAGGAATATGAAAAATTTCAACTACACTACAGCCTGATTCCCCAAACAAAGTTTCTTAGATTCTTGAAAGTTTTATTTCACGTGAATTGTATTGAGGAAGCACGTTACTATGTAGAGGGTTGAGTATTTATTAATTCCAGTGTTGTTTGGGGGTTTTTTTTAAGACAGTTTTTAACAGATGATCTGTTACTGATTCTCACAAATACTAATTTGCATCCTGTTTAGGTGATACTAGACAGCTACCAAGCATAGACCCAGGAAACATGTTAGCTGATATCTTTGAGGGTCTAAAATCAAGAGGCTTTTCTGTGGAATTGCGAACTAATCACCGAGCTGAGTCACAGCTAATTGTAGATAATGCATCAAGGTAGGATTTCCGTATGTATGTAAGAAGCATTCTTGTAGTAGGCCTTGTCCTTTACCTGCAAAGTAGTAGTGCATCCAGATTTGACTCTATAATACTGCTTCTGTTACAGTTTCTTACTCAAAACCAGTAACACTGGTTTTAAAAACAAACAAACAAACCCCCAAACTACCACCAACGAAAACCCACAAATTTTTCCAGGAGTATATGTATTGGACAAAAAAATGCATGTGCTGGAATACTATTGAATTTATGGGACGTATTTCACTATCAAACACTCTCTGATGTTTTCAAATGAGTTGTGCATGGACAAATCACTTAAAGCTTTCTGAAATGACTTATAATTGCTTCTCTAAAAGGGAACTTTTAAAGACATTGCTGGTAAGTGTGACAACAGCTGAAACAGGCTGAATTACACTGAGAGCTTAGATGTCAAGGGCCATTAAATCATAGTTTCTTTTTTTTTTTTGCTGTATTAATACCTAGAACCACTAAATGTTTCCAGCATTTGCATTACTTTTGGTCTGGAAATAATCCCGTTTCCTGTCAGTGCATGACTTCTTTTTTTAAACCTCAAACAACATAATCTAGGTCTGAGTGCCCAAGACCTTTTGATGTTGCTGGAATTTGAGAACATTCTGAACATTTGCAAGATGTCATAGAATCATTTAGGTTGGAAAAGACCTTTCAGAGCATCAAGTCCAACCGTCAACCTAACCCTGCCATCCCACCACTAATCCATGTCCCTAAGCACCTCGTCTACCCATCTCTTAAATACCTCCAGGGATGGGGACTCGACCACTTCTCTGGGCAGCCCCTTCCAATGCTTGATAACCCTTTCATTGAAAAATTTTTCCTAATGTCCAACCTAAACTTGCCCTGGTGCAACTTGAGGCTGTTTCCCCTCGTCCTATCGCCCATTACCAGGGAGAAGAGGCCGACCCCCACCCGGCTACAGCCTCCTGTCAGGCAGCTGTAGAGGGTGATAAGGTCTCCCCTCAGCCTCCTCTCCTCCAGGCTGAACAACCCCGGTTCCCTCAGCCGCTCCTCATCAGACTTGTGCTCCAGACCCCTCACCAGCTTTATTGCTTTCCACTGGACATGTTCCAGCAATGCAGTGTCTTTCCAGAGCTACTAAGTGTTTTACAAACACTCTCACTTTTTTTTTTCAGTAACGCTCTATGTTACTCCAGTCTGCTTGCATGATAAAAACTGTATGGGTAATACTAATTATCTACTGCAGTGCTGAAAGGTTTAGAGAACAAATGACTGGTTTTTTTAATGTGAAATTAAGTTACACTCAGAAGGAGCTTTTGGTGTATGTAGCCTAGAAGACCAAAAATAGTTAAATGGTGAACTTCAGGCTGATGCAGGTGATGATACACTGGAATCCTTTAACTGGAAATAATTTTTCTTTTCTGTTTTCCCTCCACTGCTCTGGTCAAGAATCTCTCACCGGAAGCTTCCTGTATTTGATGAGGTGCTGAAAGTTTCTGGTTGGAATGAGAAAATGATGATGCCAAGCCCGGAGAAGAAATTCATTCTTATTGCTTTGCCTGCTGGCGGGGGTTGTGACAGTACGTGTGTACAGTCAGTTTGTGATCTTGACTTTCCCTTTGGTAAAGCATAGATTATTTATCTGGAACGAACATTTTGGGAAGATTTTAGTCTGCTTTTGTTTGTGATATAAATTTAAATGCTAGATTCATAGTTTACCTTTTGCCTTCTGTAAGTGCACACAGCAAGAACTGTAAGTGCAATGGATACTCTGTAGAGCTCCAGCTCACCTGTTACATTTTGAAATGGGGGTGATACAGCTTGCACCAGTGTAATCAAATGTGATTGTCTCTTTATGTTGTAGCTGGAGCTGTCAAACTTTACAAGATTAAATTCTTAGAGGTGAATCATTTGAGTAAAGAGCAACTGTAACAGGGTGGAATATTGGACAGGAACATGCTCCCAACTGTAGAATCAAATTAGGAAAATGGAAGCAGTATTTCTTTAAAAATGTTCTGGAGTCAGGGTTAGGGCCATTGTTTTTGACTTTTTTTTTTTTTTTTTTTTTGCCTTTTTTTGGTTTATTGGATAATTGGATTGAGTGGCCTCTACTTTACGTGCATCAAAAAGCTTCAAGGGGATGTGGAAAAAAAAATAGTGTGAATATTATCACCTTATCTTACTATAGTAACTTACTCAGCCAACAGAATACTAAAATCCGATTTCTTCTGTGAAATCTAAATGTATAGGTCTGTGGCTTAAAAATGTTCTATCTTTACCTCTTTAATGTGCTGTACCAAAACCTTACTTTGCATGAAATACTCTCTGTGCAGCTGTTTAACACAGAAATAAGAATTTCTCTCTTTCCATTTTAACAGTGGCATAACTGCATACTTTTTGAGGGCAGTATATAGGTGGGTGTTTTGTGGTGTCGGTTTTTTTGGGGCATGTGTGTTTCAGGATTTTTTGTTGTTTTAAACAAGCGGAAATGTCTTTGAAGCAAGAAATAAGCAAAGTCAATTTCATATTGAATTATGGGGTTTTTTTTCCTTAAATTGTTTGTTCCGCATATTTTTATGCCTTACCTTTTATGTCTTCTAAAACAGAACTGCAAACTGCCATAAGGACTTTACTTCAAGAAGGACCGGGATTGCAGGACGCCAAACAATCGCAGTTCATTGCTTTCAGAAGGTAACGGAGCATGCAGGCAGACATGGAAAACATCCTTGCTAGCAGCCACAGTCTAAAAATAGCTGAATGCGTTGAGTTGGAGAGACTAGTGGCGATACCATAAAATTTTAGAACAACGGGCCAGGTGTCTTTTCCTGTACCTTCTGTTTGCCCCCAGTCTCTCCGTGGAGAGTTGCTTAGTGGTATTTTGCACCATGATTTCTGCCTTTGTGTTCGTGTTCATCTGTATTGTTTATGTTAAAAACGCAAAGGATGGACCTAAGTGGTCAGGTTTTGTAGTAGATTCTCTGAGAGCCTGTGCTCTGGTGTTTGCTAACAGTGCAGTGTTCTTTGGAAGCGAAAGGTGAGGGCTTGACTCCAGGAGGAACCCACAAAATACAAAGAAATGTCCATATTCCAATGTATCCCACTGTGGCAGATGTGAATTCCAGGGTGCATGATGGAACATATCAGCTACCGTCTATGCATGCTTCTGTCACAGGTGGACATTGACCAAATGGCAGAAGATAAACTTGCGTTTTGACCATGTGACAAGGGCCAGAATTAGTCACATAATCTGGTGGGCATTAGAGCTCCTGCTGGGCAGTGGCGAAGCACGGTACTAAATCTGGAAGCACAATACTCGTCATTTAAGAAGGGTTGGGGTGTAGGACTTGGACACGCTTTGAGGAAGGATCGGAAAGGTTAGTAGGGCCAGCTGTGACAGAACAAGGGGTAATGGTTTTAAACTAAACCAGGGTAGGTTTAGACTGGATATAAGGAATAAATTCTTTACAAGGAGGGTGGTGAAACACTAGAACGGGTTGCCCAGAGAGGTGGTGGAGGCCCCATCCCTGGAAACATTCAAGGCCAGGTTGGACGGGGCTCTGAGCAACCTGATCTGGTTAAGGGTATCCCTGCTCACTGCAGGGGGGCTGGGCTAGATGGCCTCTAGGGGTCCCTTCCAACCCAAAACATTCCGTGATTCTGTGATTCTATAATCACTGATAATGTGAACCATCGCAGGAGCGTGAATAGTCTGGATGGCCTCACGGAAACACTGAAGGGATAAATGTAATGTCCAGTAGTACTCATAGTCGGTAAACTTGCATGTCTGCACAAAAGGGTACTTGAGAAAAAACTCTTCCCCTTTTGTTTGTGAAGAACCTTTTCTCAGCAGTTAAAAACCACCAACTATTTACAGGTTACTAGTGTGCAAAATAAGCGATTTATAAACTTCAGCTAGTTCACCTGTTTGTTGTGAACACTGAGTAACTCTGAAGTCAATTTTATTTCTCCAGCCTGCATTCAGGTACAATACTGTTTTTAAATTTCCATATATATAGGTAATTAATCTGCATTTAGAAGTTTAAAATGGAGGTATTTTAAAAAGCAATTAAATCTTCTGACTGTTTTTACTATATCCACAGACAGAAAATAATATATCCAAGCTTTAGTTTTTCTTTAGTTTTCTTCTTTATCTTGAAACCAAATCTAGCTAATCTAGCTATGCATCGCAAACATCCTTGCCTCGCTTTCTATGGTATCTACACAAAACTGTTCCTTTACTGCTCTGTCTTCTAAACTCTGAACTGGCGATTGTTTTTAGTTGTTGGTGGAAGATCGTCATAGCTAAGGTGGGCTTCTTCCATTATTTATAAATTAATGCTAATGTGACATTGCATGTAACTGTATGTTCTGTACCTCATGATTTTGTTCATGTTCTTGTTTTGTACGATTTAGGCAAGACTGCGATCTAATAAATGAACTTTGTTGCCAACACTATTCAAATCACTTAACCAGGTAAGCCAGTGTTTTGCAATTTTTTTCTGTGAACAATCTCACTTTATTTTTAAAAGTGTTACAGCCAGGCCAACATCCTAAAATAAGATTGTAAAACTTCTAATGTTTGATCTAGATCTGATTATTTATCTTAGAAATCATTTATACAATAAAAAACTTTCTTTGATGGGTTCTTTAATCTCATCCTGGACTGTGAACAGAGAGAACATAAACTGTTTGCCTTTCACTTAAATTGTCTTCATGTGAATTCCAAGATTTTGAGTTATCGTTGAATATTTAAAATTGACATAAAGGTAACTTGAAAAAAACCCTCAAGGTTAATTATTCTTTGCCACTGTACAATCTCTAAATGGATTCTGAAATATTTTTGGAAGCAGGGTTTTGAATCATAGAATTATAGAATGGTTTGGGTTGGAAGGGATCTTTAGAGGCCATCTAGCCCAGCCCCCCTGCAGTGAGCAGGGACACCCTTAACCAGATCAGGTTGCTCACAGCCCCGTCCAACCTGGCCTTGAATGTTTCCAGGGGTGGGGCCTCCACCACCTCTCTGGGCAACCCCTTCCAGTGTTAATTATTTTGGTGCTGCTCCATATTACTGTTTTTTACCAAAAAGTTTTAGAAAAGTTCAAGAAACCTCTTTTAAATGTGAGTTGTCTTAACTGTTTTGAACATTATTAAGGTTTTTAATCTGGCCCGAGTATAGAGGAGAGAGAGAAGAAATACTGAGAGACAGTAAATGCATACTTTGTAAATACGTTTCTCCCTCTTTCTTTCTCTGACCTAGAGACCAGAAAAACCGACTTCTGTTTCAAATTGATGACAAGATTTCCTGCACGCGGAATACGTACCTGAAAGATCTCTTGCCAGACCATGGTTTTGGAGAGGATCTCAATCGCCTTGAATACAAAAGTGGAGAAACCACCCGCCCTACAGAGACTGCAGAGGAGGGCAAACGACTGTGCAATGGAGATATATTTTTCATAACAGGGGTAAGTCAGTCCTTCCTGCAGGAACTTGCATAAAAAAGTCCCAGTGGTAACTGATTCAGTCCTTGTCGAATGCCCAGAACAAAACAATTCACACTTTATAATTTTAGTCCATTATACATACTAGTTCTTCTGCTAAACTATCATGTGAAGGGCAAGAAAGAGGCAGACTCACAATAGAGAACTAAAAAAATCTCTGGGCTTTTTTGTAAAATGTGTTTCACTTGGGTAAATACATTCTGTAAATACTCGAATGTATTGTAATTGAAGTGGGTAATGTTTTGGGTACAGGTAGAAACACGGAGAATAAAGTTACAGCTTGAGCTCTCCCCTCGCAGAAAACTAAGCTGACCAAAAAATACAGCAACAAAAAACTCTGTATTTTTCTGCTGGGTTCAGTGAGTTGAGTTGGCTCAGCAGAAGGCCCAGTGAAAGCATCAATGTTTGTGCATGGGAAAGGGGGGCTGTAGGGGGTTGGCGGGAGAGAGCGGGCTCTTCTCTGTTTGTGGCAACAAATTGTTAAATGGCCTTGCTGGTATTTTTCACTGTACCCTAGGGTAATCTAAGTTTTCTGGTGCTTAAAATTGCCTTTCTCAGTGTTTCTCTTAAAAACAGAAGGAGTTGGGGCAGGCCCTGTACAGCAAAACTCTTTTCCCTGGAGGTGGTCAGTGAAAGACAGCCATCTTTTGGGTTGAAAGTCTTCTGAAACCAGTTCACTCGGGTGATGTCGCAGCTATTGTGATTTCAGGGAGAGCTAGAATATGGACGCACACGGATGTATAGACGTTGATCAACCTGCTGGTACAGGCTTACTGCTGAGCGTTCTTCTGCTGTTTTGTTAGGACGTAGAAATTGATAAGCAGCGCTTGCTGACCATCAGCAGCACGTACGGCTCCACGTTCACTGTGAAGTATAAGGCACTGAAGAAGCTGTGTCACATAAAACACGCGTGGGCCAGAACTATTCACACATTTCAGGTAAAAATAAAGAAGCTATGAGCTGATGAAACTTTCTTGTGGGTTTGTCTTGCTAGTGCGCTGTATTTTCATGGGAAAAGTCAGAAGCTCTCTTGAAACAGGATAGAAAATATTCTTTGAGAGTGTCCCCAGTTGTCTCCAGCTTCCTTGTTCTTGTCGTTGGGTTTTTTTTTTCCTTTAACTACTTACCAGAGATCTTACTCTGATAAGATAGTGTTTATGACAATGTTTCCTTTCTAAACACATTTCAGGGTTCTGAGGAAAAAACGGTTGTCTACGTGGTTGGCAATCCTGGCCGTCAGCACTGGCAGCACGTGTACACAGCCGTGACGCGAGGGCGCTGCCGTGTCTATGTTATCGCTGAAGAGATGCACCTCAGGAGAGCAGTCACTAACAAGAACGTGCCCAGAAAAACTCGCTTACAGAGATTTTTGAAAGAGGCAATCGCAGACACGAGCGACTGTCCCAAACAGACTTCCTCTCCCCTGACGAAGAGCTGGCAAAGTCAAGAGCTTGCGACTGGGTCCGTGTCTGTAACTCAAGGTGCTCCCGACCCACCTGAACCCCTGACTGACTTGACTGACCAGGAAGGGTCAGCAGTTCCCGGTAAAGAACTGCAGATGGGCAATTTGCAGCAAAGTCCGTGTAAAAGACAACAAACTCTTGACGGGAATTCTGAGGATGTGACGAAAATGCCCTCTGTAAGTATCTCCTTACTGAGAACGTTTGAAACAAACTTTCGCGCTCCCTTTTGCCACCGCAAGGTGCCTGGATGCCGTTATGATGGTTTTATTAGTTTATGTAGCGGTTTTCAAGATGACCAGTAATTGCTGAAGCAGTCAAGTTTGGCAGATGTTTTCCCGGAGTAATATAGGACTAATGGGGAAAAAGAAGTTATAATGTTAATAGCAGTAAATTTATACATCTCGTTACTCATCGGCGTGATCCGTTGGCTAGCTTAGGCTCTGTTAGCTTATTCTTTGGGTACAGAAGTCAGTTTTTTGGAGCTGACCTGCAGTGAAAGATTTATATAAAAGTTTAATCGTCAAAGTTGATTTTTATACAGTCAAACATGCCTAACGGATGCTTTTTTTATTATATCTAATTTCTGAGCCCTGTCACGGGGAAAGAGGTTTTTCTGAAGATGCCACTCTATTTTAGTTCTGGTTCAAACTCTGATAAGGTTTTTGTTTTGTTTTGACAGACGACAGTAGAAGATTCCCCACTTGGGTCTTTCAGACTTAAGAATCTAACTTTGGGACAACCAACTCCTAGGAAGCTTTTCAAAAGCTAACAGCCGATTAGCTGTCCTCGTTATGAACCTGTCTTGAACCCGTTTCGTTCAAGAGTTTTGGAACAGAGAAGCTGGGAATGCAGATGATTTTTTCAGAGGCTTTCCTGGATGTGCATGTTCTGTGAAGAACAGCTTGTTTTGAAATGAGCCGGTTACATTTTCAGTCATCTGGTTTTAGTAGGAGCTTCCTTGGCGTGTCAGTCATCAAAAAATCGTATCATTCTTTTGTTTGGTGGAGAATGAACTTAACAGGGCTTACGGGATCCAGACATTCCCTCAAAAATACATGGGGATTTCTAGGTTTAAAGACTGCAGCCAGTCGTACCGAGATGTACCCACCTCCTCATGCTACAGAGTGGATGGGAAGCCGTGACCGATGTGCCAAAACTGCAGCTTGCTCTCGAGTCAAAAAAATACTTGACAAAGGGGACTTTAGATTTTTCTAAATTATGGGTGTGATGCGTCGATGGGTTATGGATATTCATCTTGTTATAAATGGAACAAGAAAGTTGCAATCAGTGACACAGAAAATGTTTCCCATGTTGTACTTGAGAGAGGTGTTGAACTTGCCGTTGCTGCTTCAGCTGGTCCCTACATGCCGACAGTGATCGTGGTGAGAAAAGCAGAATTCCAAGTCAGAGTTCAAATAACATTCTGCTTTCAAGCTTTTTTTTCTGTGTACTATGTGACTTGCTGCAGTGTGATTTTTGAGATGAATAAGCTGAATGTTTAATCAAACGTCAAATTGTGCTAAAGTTTGGACGGCTTGCTTGCTTCTAACAATGTGTTGTTTTGGGTTTTTTTTTACACATGGCAGGAAAAAGTGTACCGCAAATATAAACATTTTTTTTGCTAAAACTGCAGAAAAAAAAATGTGGAAAAAATATGGAGTAGAAAAATGCTACCTCATTTTTAATGCCTTTAAATCACTGTTTATTTCAATTTATACAGTTTTTCCATACAAATATTTGCAACAGTTTGAATTTCAAAAAACATAACATAGACGATAAATATCATGCTATTAAAGTATTAAATTTGTACAAAAATACTTTACAGTTTAATACTTATTTGTTACAAATAAAAATACATATTTAAGTGACTCATGAGCTTGTTTTGTTTTGTTTTGTTTTTACACATGGTTCAGCATCGAATGTCATTCTGACCTTTTCTGGCAGTGCTGAAACAGGAGTTGGCGATAGGCGCGTGTGCGGGGCAGGTGAGCTTGTTCATGTATCGGAAACAGCAACAGGGATACAGTTAAACAGTTTAAACTGACCAGAAACAACTCCGTGAGGTGATTGCTTAGATATGGAGACTCTACAAATGTACAAATCCAGTATCTTTATATTCACCAATAACAAGAATTACCAAGAACAACTTGAATACCGGAATAAACCAAAGCAGCTGCTGGTGAGCGTATAAAGCAACTGGCAGTATTTTATTGCTTGGGGGGAGAGGGGAGAGGAGAGAATCTGTGTGATGTGTTTGTAAAATATATTTACAATTTTAAATTCTAAAAACGTGTCGCAGGGAGTAATGTTTATCGTAAAGAAGGCTGAAAACAAAGCATATTAAATGGGACTTCTGTCCCTTCAAGAAATTGTTTGACTTAAGAAGCTCACGTGTGACAGTACAAGTTTACAGGTTTATGGATCACCAAAGAGCTTTTGTATCAATCTTCTGCTGACAGAGTTTAAAAAAAAAGCCACTTTCTTTTAAAACCTTTCTGATTTGTCTGAACTCAGTTTTACTCGTCAGTAATCCTCCTTCAGAGGGTTTGACCCCACTAAAAAAGTCTCTGCTTAAAAATCCCCACAGGTTGCAAGACATACCGTTAAATATTTCATTGCATAGGCAATAACATACGTTCTAACAAAATTGACCCAAGTGGGGGAGTAGCGTTCACCGCATACTGCAGCTTCCTACAAGTGTTTTGTTAGAACATCTCAACCGTGCTTTGCCTGCAGAGCGCGCCCTTCCTGCCCGCAGAACAGAGGTCTCCCCAATGGCAGCTCTAGCCATTGACCGAGAAGCCCCGGCGCAGCACGCCACCCTTCCTCACCCCTCAGACAGCATGCCTTTCTGATTAAAATGTTTTTAAAACCCATGTAACCTGGACACCGCTGTTAGCAGAGGTTAACTCCCTGCTTTTCCTTCAAACAGCAGCTGCTGCTGAAGGGAGAGGAACGTCTAAATCATGTTTAAAACATCGCCCCTCTTTCTTTCTTTGGGGGAGGGGGGGGGGGAAGGCCCTCACCATTTCTCATACTGTTGCTAATGCTAGAGCATTTTGAATGGAATGACTTCATGAAGACTTGAACTTTCTCAAAAGTAACCATGAATTAATACAAGCCTTGAGACAGACAGCCTGACCTCCTGTGCTTTTTAGTGCTGTGTAGCGTCTGAGCCTCAATCTCGGAGAAATCTTAAAGGGATTTAGCACCATAGTTTCTTCTGTTACCGAATGTCCCACTACAAGGATTTTCTGCTATAATGTGTTTGTAGGATCCCGCGTCTCTGTATGGACGCTAGGGTGCCCGCTCTGCGGAAGGAAGGCGTTGCTCTGATCGCTCCACTCCCCGCTGGCTGAAGGCTGTTGTTCTGAGCTTCCTTTCTGAGGTGCCAGCGGGTTTCTGCTAATAACCAGTTCCAGCTTGTTGCCAGATTCTGCGATGAGGGGCACAACGAGGCAGCAGTCAAAGTCTCTGGTGCGAACATGGTTTACCTGTACGCCGAGAAGATGATTGATTTTTGTTACCATTATTTCAGGAAAACGAAATGAGATCGCAAGAGAACCAGATCTATCCTTGAGACTGTGGAACCTGATTTAAAATATTGCAGGTAGAGAATCACTCGCCCGATACAAGACTGTTTAACTGTGGCGCCGGGTCTGAAGTCACCAGTTAAGCTTCCTGCTCGCCCTTTAACAGAATGTTGCTAAAGCGGGCGTGTTTGCACCCGTGATGGGTACCTTTTGGCAGCTGTCACAATGCCCGCTCCGTAAGTGACATTTAACAGCACACGATTGTTCTGTCTTTTGTGGTGTTCATTAATTTAAATGCAACAGATCACATCTAAAATTTCAGTTCAGGTCATAATTAACGTATCAAGTATTTTATTGGGCTAGTTGACAAAAAAATTTAGTTTTTCCATCACGACCCAACTGGGCAGTGGGGGAAGTGTGGTGCTCAGAGAGAATTACATTGTTACAACTGTGCCAATCAACGACTTGGATTAAGCACAGAAACAATTCTCAAGTCTACATGAAGAATAGCAAAAATTACAAATCTGTCTGGAAATGCCTTAGGAAATTCCAACTTTCCAGTGAGCATGTGTATGTCTCCTTGGGAGTTCTGAAATACTTGACATTCTGAAAGAATGCGTTTCTTTAAATATGATTTTACAGGAAAACCTAGCCTCGATGCCACTGCCTAAAGCCCAAGTCACCGTGAAGCGCTGCCTTTTTTTACTGAGGGTCTTGGTGATTTGCATGGCCTGTGGCGCAGAGCAATTACAATCCTTTGTCCTCCTTCCCGCCCCCCTGCACGTATCCCAGCAGAAACAGAATGATACTGCTCAGAATTCAAAATATAATAAGCAACATAGACAGTAAGTCATTCCAAATAAGCGGTGTAAAGGCTTTATGCAATTCTACCGTCGGGGCTGTGTACACAGATACCCAGATACCCTGCGGTGTGGCTCCAAATCTTTTTTACAAGAAGTAACCCGCATGCCATGTCCCTTCATGCTAAACCTGAGTGGTGCCACAAACATTACCTGTAAAAGTCTGTCGTAGGGTTTTAAACCTCCCAGATCACCAGGGCCAGCTGGTCGAATGTTTTTAACATACACTCCTTTTTCCAACAAACCATCTGAGACACTGAACCCAAAGTCTTCTCCATCAGAGTCCTTGTACAAAGTTACCTGTGGAGGTGATTTGACATCATGAGAAGGAAAAGGGGGGGAAAAAAAAAAATAAAAGTGGCCACATTTCTACAAGCACTAGGCAGGCTTTCTTCCTAGCGTGTTTTGGGGTTTTGTTTTTGTGGTTTTTGGTTTTTTTTTTTCCCCTCCACATTAGAGAGCTCACTTACTTACCTACTTTTTAGTACTTACAGTATTATATGAGAGTTGTCCCCATTTTGACATTATATTAATATTCTCAGAAGCCTCCTTATTCTTCAGTAACAAGCAGCCCTTTTCACTTCTGCTTGTCAGCTGGACATTTGCGGGGTTTTATCCCACCTTTTGTGGTGTCATGTTTTTTTTTTTTTTGTGTCTTAGTGGCTTTTTTCCTACCCTGTTCTCTAGTTGCCAGGATCTGAGTACAAGCACCCAGCTGGTCATCCGATTCAGTTTAGTTTTGCTTCAGGGCTGAAGACCTGGCCTCAACCAAACAATCAGTGTCCTGTCTTCCAAAACTTCTGTAGGCCACAAACGCCACCGGCACTGTAAGCCCTACCTAGCCAGCCTGATTTCGGCCAGGCAATGGTCCGCCTGTAGGCCTAACCTCAGAAGTGCTTAGTATGAGAGTGCCAATGCAATCTGCTAAGAGACTATGAATACGGCTCCTTCAGAAGGAGCTTGCAGGCAGCGTTCTTACAGGCACATCACCAAGAGAGTGTCCTTCAAAAGCAGGCAATAGAAGTGAATAAAACTGTTAGGAGGAGGTTTTTCAGGTGTTCAGAAAACAAGTCCTCACCAGTAGCTTTGTGAATTCAGTTATTTGATAGAAGAGGACTCAGACTTTTTTGTAGCTATGTGGTATGCTTATGATTTTTTTATTTCTGTGAGGATTTTTTCCCCCTTGCTTCTCTCTCACATCAGTAGTGCAGACATGCGCAAGTAAGTTGTGAGCCAGCGGTGTGACATCTGACTGACACTCTGACGCTGGCACAAAATGTGTGTGCAGATACAGTCACACAGTCAAAATCAGGCTTTTACTGCTACAGGTTTTTTTCACTTCAGGTTCAAAATACTGATTCAAAATGTACCTTGGCTGATGAAATGACAACATTGAGAGTCCTCTGTAACTTTATAATGGCTGGGTATCAGCAGTGCTCCATGCGCTGCATCCTTGTGCGCGCCAGCCACTGAATTCCAATCTGGTGTCACAGAGTCATTCAAACTGAGGGGACTTTGGGAAGTCTCTAGCCCAATCTCCTGCTCAAGGCAGGGCCAAGACCGAATCCAGATCAGGCTGCTGAGGACTCAGTCAGAATTTCACGGAAGCATGCCAAGGGGCAGCAGTGCTGGCGCGCAGTGCTGGCTGGTGCTGCCTTCAAAAAGCGTCTCAGATCCTGCCTTAAGTGCCATGGTGAAAAGGTAAGCATGAACAGACAAGGTTGTCTCTGAGCAGGAGTGAAGGATTTGGTCACCTCAACAAAGAGCACAAGTAGTTTGGTGTGGGGTTTTTTTCCTGCTCCCTGCAGTTTCCCTGAATTTACTTGGCTTCAGTGGTGCATCAACAGTGCTTTCATGAGAATGAAACCAGACTCGCTGGTAAGTTTGGTAGCTATCCTGGGCAATGGTTGAGAGAAGTTTGATACAACACCAGCTGTGGCCACATTAGCACCGTTTTAGCTGAAGACATGGATGGTGCACGTTGGGCTGCTGTGAAAACATCTCTCTGTCTCATGCCGTGCTAAGCACAAATACCCCCCTTCAGTATTTGCCCCTCACTTTACACCAGTTCCTCCTCCCTTGTTTTTCGCCCTCTGTACAGCACAGCAAAGCAGAAAGCCACACCTACAGCCCCATGAACTAAGCTGAAGGCTTTCTGCCTTCCAGTGACTTTTTTGGGTATGAGGTGTCATTTTAGACTTCCCAGTGGCTGCTGTGTTTAAGGTCTTTGCCATCTTTTCTCCCATCTTCCCCCAAAGTAACTTCTCGCTGAACCTGTCATACCTCCTCCATCTCAGCATGAATTTTAGGAGTCGATGGGCATTTCAGCTACTGAAAAACCTATCTGAAAATTCAAAATAATTCCTCATGAAATGACTTTAATTTGTATCAACAGCTGCTGCACCAGCAGGACTCTGGGAAACTTCTAATAATTTGTTATCAACAGATTCTTCTGTTTGTCATATCATAGCATGTCTGACATGGCTTTGATCTGAAGGATGTTTGAAGCTGCTACGAAGGTGCCATTCTACAAGATTAAAAAAATAAATAAAGGAGGAGATTTATTGACAGCTTTGTGTGCATTTCCTGGCAAGAATGAAAAATAATTAGCACTGGACCAAGAAACAAATTCTCCTCAAATGAGATGACATCTTTTTTCCACACTGTCACGAAGGATAGGAGTGCTTCACATTAACTGCTTCTTAAAGAAGCCTTGCAAAGTAAACGCAAAGATGTGATACACTGCCTAAGAGGAAGAGATTTACTTAAAATACCATACACTGGTCTAGCACAGATGGCACAGTTTTTAAAAGGAACTTCCCCTTTCTGCTGTTTCTTTTCCCTTTCCTCCTCCTTCAGGCACTGGAGTTGAGTGCAGCTGGATCCAACCTCAGATGAACGACAAAAACATAGGAAGCAGGGGACTCTCTGAAGGCATCTAGACTGTATTCTTGCCCTATGGCAGGATTGACTGCATCTAATCCATTTCTGAGAGACATTTCTCTGTCCTGCTTTTTAAAATCTCCAGTGATGGAGACTCCACAGTCTTAAAGCAATCCCCTCCCAGTGCTTCAGATGTTTTCCTTAGGTCTAAACTAAATCACCCTTGCTGGGAGTTAAGCCTGCTGCTATCCACAGAGAACATGATCGCTTTATTCTCTCCTTCTCTGCAGTGATGTGAAACAAGGATTGTTTTTCTCTGGACTCTGTTCAGTAGGTTAACATCCTTCTTTAATTTTCAGACCCCAAACTGGACACTCTATTACAGTCAAGACCTTATCAAAGCCAAGCTAGAGTGGAGAATAATTCTGCATGTACTACAGATGGTAGTCCCATTCCTGTAGTCTAGGACAGAGCTGCTTTTTTCCTATTTTTAGTGAGTGGTGTATTAGCAAACCAAATACCTACAAATTCTGTTCTACAGATCTAAGGATTCCACACTAGCTCATCTTATGTCTCGTCTACAATGACGCCTGGGGAATCCATGTGCTACTTCACGCCCAGCTTGTGAGTCAAAAGATGGAGCATTGCAAATGATAAGGGACGTGAAAGTGGAGTTTTGCTGTGGAGGTGAGAAACTGCCTTTGCAGGACAGGGGGAAGTACTGCAACAGCAGGGCACGGAGTGAAGCAGAACTTCAGAATGATCATCCAAAGTCCTTTCTTGCCTTCCCTAGTTGTTCAGCTTGGGCTTTCCTGATTTATATGGACTGAGCGTGCTGGAAGGGAATTACTCACTACCCTGCAAGCAGAACTTTTAGATACAAAAATATTTTCTCATTTCCCTGGTTCTTCAGATCTACAGATCATAAAAGATTTTTAAAACCTGTTTTCTTTATGGCAATCTTCTCCTGACCTTTGGTTTATTTAACAGGGGCTTGGAAATTAAAGCAACTCATACTTAACTCACTTAAGGGATGAGGCTGCGATTTAACTTTGCACATTTGACAGCTGTCACATTTTTAGGTGCAAGTCACCTGCAGAGAACGTTCTTTTCTTTGGGGCTACTTCTCTTTAGGGCAGCATATATTCTTAAAAGAGAACCTCAGAGTAAAAACCCTACTATCTGAAATACCCAGATTTTTATCTGGGTATTTTATCTGGGCAAAGCCTTACCACACGGGTTTCCCATCTTCACTTGCCAGCAGCGCAGCCCTGTCTGAAGGGTGTGAGATTGCAGGCAATTCATGCAACACCTAAATCATGCTGGTTTATCTGCACTTCTGATCACAACTGTTTGGGAGTTTTGATCTCAACAGCAAAATCCCCATTACGGGCAATTTGTTAGACTTTTAAATTTACATCAGGAGCCTAAGGGAAGAAGAAAGCTGAAATGGAAATTTAATTCATATTTCATAAGCAATTAAATAGTTACACATTTTAAACAGAGGCTTACAAGTTTTGAGTCTGTTTCTATGCCTCTCCTCACTCTCAAATCTGTGGGAAAATGCTTAATTTATATGCATACATCTTGCACAGATCAGCTATTGAGGCATTTTAACTGACTGTAATTTTAGGTTAATGACTACTTGCAGTAAGAATATTGAAAAATTATCTGATGTCTAGTGCATATTTTTGCTCTCTGAGGAATGCAAGCTCTACAAATGGTCCGCTATGATTTTTAGAAAAATATTAATCTATATGCTTACTTAGGTAGATAAAGTCAATTAAAGGCAGTAATTAAATTTAGGTACTGATATAGCAATACGCTATGCAGTTAAATGAAATGTTACTTATTACACCATCTAGAACAAATGTTTGAAGAGATTTGTATGACACCTCTCAATTGTAGCTTCCTCGGGACAAGGACAGGTCAAGTACACATTTGGTGACTGTAATGCAGTGAAGTAAGAAAGAGCAGTGAAGAATTCAGGTTAACTTGCTGCAAAGTTTGCAGCATTCAGCAAAATCATCCTCAGGGCTGTGTTACCTTCTGAGAGGTGCGTATCTGAGGAGGACAAGCTAGTAACGTCATCTGCTCACCATGCTGCTCCCCTAGACGTACTCATTTGGGTTTGTGGCCTGGCAGTTTTTATCCAGTCTTATTCTTGCTTACCCTATACAGTCAGACTGGCTATTGATGCATTTTGTTTTTATGTGTGGCTTTTTCTTTGGTAGAAGCATATATTCTTGCTCTCTCACAATCAGATTATGAAAAACCAGTGGAACATCGACCTTAGCTGCCCTGTTTTCTGCAATCAAACTTAAGGTATGGACTCGGATCTATAGGGCACATAGGCCCTGACTCAACAGGCATGTGGACTCATTGCACAGAGGCATTAAATAGGCACCTTGCAGTCAAGTACATGCTTGAACGTCTTGCTGAGGTAAGTCTCAGGCGAGCTGTGCCTTAGCTTGTATTTCAAAGACTGTTTATACCATCACAGTTTTCCAAACCAGTTCTTATTTCACTGGTTGTCCCGTCAGTGGCCCAGCTGATTAAGACATTTGCCTGCAGAGGGCAGAGTGCCTTTTCCATTAGGACCTGTTATGAAAAATACTTAAATTGAGGCATTTCTCTGACGGTGAAGTGAAGTCATTCCTGTGGCATTGCAGCTCTTCTGGAAAACTATCACTGACAAGCTGTCCATAAGAAATAGCAACTGAACTGGTTATTAGGGTTAAACTAGAGGTCTAATACAAAAAGGAAGGAGGAGAAAGTAACAGGCATATTGCTACGCAAGAACTAGTAAGAAAACTAAGAGATAAGAACTTGCTAAGATGGGCATGAATATGAAAGCAGCCCACGATGCTTGGGTTAACCTGCATGTGTGATCATAGGGGTACAAGCCCACTTTGGTGAATGAGACCGTACGATCCAGTCACTGGTTTCTACTTTTCTTAAACGACTGTAAGGATTTGGAAAATCCTCAGTGCAGGTTCAAGTTTTAGATTTTTAGAAAGGAATTTATTCTTTTCTGGATGACAGAATAGACAGCAAACTCAACATCACTTCAGCAGACAGTGGAAAAGTGGGTATATTGTCTGAACAAAACCTGGAAATTACTAAAATGGAAGGTCACAGCAATCCTAAAAAACAGGCAGCTGAAAAGAGAGAGAGCTCAAGGACAGGGTATTTTTTACTGCCCAGGACTCTAAGAGCTAGCAGCTATCATAGAATGCCAACTCATTAGTAGAAATCTGACTCCTCCCTTCCAGGAAAGGATTTATTTTATCAATCATGAAAGGTGGTTTTATGATCCATAGGAGAAAACTCTGCTTTTGCTGAATGTGAGCACACCACGAAACACCTACCAGTGCAGTTTTGGTTTGTATCTCACATTTACTCGCCACTTAGGAAAACCGAGCACAATAGCTAATTCCATTAATCACTTCACATCAAGCTGGACATACGAATAGCTTAAAACTATCACAACACATCCTATTGATTGTTTACATTGGCAATAGATTGATTTTCCGTATAGAAGAGCCACTCTCTACTACCTTCTACAAGCATTCATTTAGCTCATACTCACTGAGTCCTTACCTCACTGAACAAAACCCAATGAACTGCAAACTAAACTCAGTCAAACCCGCAGGGACTAGAAACCAAATCAATGAGAATGACAACATGTGACGTCTTAACGTAATTTCTCTGTGCTTCTGCCTCCTCTCTGGGAAGATCTCAGACCTTTAGGAGGCTGATGGGTGCAGGAGATGGGAGGCTCATTCCCATCAAGTAGAACAGCATTATAATGGCCCCCAGAGTTTTGGAAACTGGTTGCTGTTACTGCCTCACTGGACTTGAGGCAGTGAAAAGTTGCATAGACTGAAGATTATTCATCCTTTTTAGAGCAAAGGAATTATAAAGAGAAGAGAAGCAATAGCTGATTTGAAATAACATTCTATATTATGTACATCGAGTCTCATGTATTTGAATCAAAATAAGTGTTAATTTGAAAAAGGACCAATGGGAGCCCCAAACCCTCCTGAGTAATTTCCTAAAGAAATGTATTTTCTAGAAATTAAACTTTGCTTTCTTAATGAACACATTTTGCAGAGATGAGTTATTGGTATTGTCAATTCAAATTACCAGTGGATCCTCCCTGCAAAAGAGCAGTCCCTTTGAGGATTTATTGTAAAACGAAATAGTAGACAAGGATGCATCTTATTTGTTTGTTTCCCCCACAAGGATATATCATTAATGTGTTTGTAAGAACTAATATGCATGGCCCCCAAATTAAATCTGTGGAGTCATTATAAAAAGTGCTTACTGTATTGCCATATAATTAGATTCTCTATGCTGAATATATTATTTCAAAGCTGTCAGAAGAAAATTACAGACCTTGTGTAACTCCACAGGAGTTGGTGACATGATTTCTTTCATTTCTTGCTTAATCTTTCTCAGAACCATGGACTTTCTCCCCACATCTGACGGCAATGTGTTGCTACGAGTAGCTTGACTGTAATGTGGCCTTACAGTACTTCTCTCCTGGAAGCTGGCTTGTCTTCCCAGCTGGCTACGAGGTTGTGGGTTTTCATGATTCAAACTCATGGTACTTCCTGACATAATTGTGGCCTAGAGCATTAACGAACAGGTTAATTTTTAACACAGAATGCGGGTTAAGTAAGTGGTTAATTCATAGCAGTAGGAAAAACGTCTCTATTCTTTGTTAAAACACAATCACTCAGGGCACAGCAAAAGGCAAGAGCACAGATGTTCAATCTGCTTGCAAGTCACTATAAAATAAAGGACCACAACAAAACACAACAACAATAACAAAACCCTATGGGCAAAAGGTTTCAGATGGCATTTCAAACTAAAATACTGAGCACTAGAACGGCTATGCTTGTGAGCTAGTCCCCTGGCAGACTGAAGAGTGTGTTGTATAATCTCGTCTTTTAAAAATATTTTGCACATAAATAAAATTATATTTAAATTGCAGCATAATTGCATTTGTTGGAATCGGAGCTATAGGAAGGCATTTACAATTCAGACTGCGTGTGCAAGGTAAAAAAATGTGAGTCAGCAGAATATGCAGGCAGCTCTGGAGTCAGCTCGGGCAGAGAGCGTGTCCAGAGACCATCCCAGGCCGGGGAAAGCTCAGTGCAGGTAAGCTCACTGGCCTGGAAAGAAACTTTTTGTAACACGCATATTGCAAGAGTAACTGCCTTAGCTTGGCGCTAATGCTTCAGATATAAGAGCCCCTGCCCTCTACGACTGCTGTTTTTATTCTCAGTAAAAACTAACCTTTTATGTTAGATGCAAGAATGCACAGAGGGTGAAATCTTGAAAGAAGATGACAGCAGTCATCTCATCCCCTGGGTGGAAAGGACTGACACGAAAAGCACCCGTGCACTGCAAGGAGCCTCCTCCCTTGGGAAAGACATTCTGCTCTGGGGAGCAGGAGGCAAATGCACTTTGGCACAGCCACTGTACAGAGGTGCCACTGCTGGGACAGGGTATACTGAATTTCCTATTTATTCTCCCTGTGCCGATGGACAAGCGAAAGGGGAAGTAAAAAGGCCATAACCTGAACTCTGACTGGGACAGGATGCAGGCAGCCTGATTGAAAATGAAGGGGGAAGAAATAAGGGGAAAGCCAGCAAACACACATTTGCTTCTACCTCCGGTGAGCATGTCTGTCACCCTTCCTTCTCCCAGCTCCAGCACTACTTTCACTATGAGATAATATATTATAGACTCAACAGTCTCTCTTGTGCTCAGTAATAACTGGTATTACTCCCTGATGGAGCAAAAGCATCCAGAGGACGTGGCAAACAACAGTTTTCGTTGCTCTTTGGCTGAAGACCTTGAAATGAAAAATGATAAGGAGTCCTTGGACTACGCAATGGCACTTCATAAATAGAGGTGTTGCCATTCTCAGCGTCCTGTCCTACTGAGTGAGCCTTGCTTTCTTTTCAGAGCTGTGGGTTGTGCAACAAGGCGATGCTAGAAACGGTACAGCATCTACAGTTCTGAGTTTCACTTTTGTGAAAGGCTGAGGAAAATTCAACGTGTTGAAGTAACTGAATTCTGGCCAGCATGAATGATCTATTTCCATTTCAGAATGATCTATTTCCATATCCTTTTATTGTGCTCTGAATATTGAAAACTGCAAGAGAAGCCTGCGGTACTGAGCCGTATCTAACTATGGAATTAAACCAGTATAACATTTTCTCCTACGTTTCTCTGGTTTGCAATAACAAATACATGAGAATCACATTTTGCTACCCATACATGCAATACAAAAGCCATAAATCTGAGGAAGTAAATTAATCTGAACTGAAAAACTTTCACCCAGTTATGCCATTCACATTCCTCCTGGCTGCTAAAGGACTTTATATAACGTAAAAATGAAAATGAGATTCTGCCAGTTTTGCAGCTCCAGGAATTTAAAAGAACATAAAAGAAAATATTTTAGGACCTTTCATTCCGCAGCTTTAAGTGGCAGTGTAATCTTAATTGTTCTGATTAGACAACTTAGAGAAAAGGTGATTAGAAAAATACTCAAAGTTACTGTGTCTCTGCCCCTTCCCCCCCCAACCCCCTCACAATCTCACATGAAGCACAGTTAGATTTGCAATTAACTTCAGGATGAAATGTGAAAATTTGTAGTGAAGAAATTTCTGTATAATGAACATTTGTCACATTGGCAGCTTTTTTTGCAGAGTGGTAAGGTTATAGGTAAACATTTTGAAAAGCTGATTTTCTTTTATGTTCATCTTAATCAAATTAAGTTTCAATTTAAAAGACAACCTACAACATGCTAAGAAAAGCTGCATAAAGCATCTGTCAGAGAATGGGATGAATTGCTGCAGGAAGTTTATGCCCACTTAAGAAGTCCTGCACCTTTTGCTGCCTGTGCAGACAGCATCAATGGTTATGCACAGCAGAAGCTGCAAGTCAAAAGCTCTGGGGTGAACATGTTTATAGAATTTTGGTTGCGTTGTACAAAAGAAAACAGCTCTGGTTAGGGGCGGGGGAGGCAGCTGCACAAGCAAAAGTATAAAGGTAAAGGGTAGGTACCAAGAGAGTCATGTTTCTCAAACACAGACGCCTGTCAGCCTTGTCCTGTGGAGAGGGGTTAAAGCTTTTAAATGAATTGGTGTGATTAGTGCAACTTAAAAGAAAAAAAGGAGAAAATAAAATGAATGTAAACCAAACAAAACCCATTATATTTCTCTATAATTGGAAAGAAAGGTTAAGATTGTTCTACCTCTAGTTCCCTCAGAATTCCTGACTGGCCACAGGTCTCTAAATCCTCCAGAGCCTGAGACCAGAAATTTTCCTCCTGGTCAGCCTCGGTGTTATCATGGGTACCTGCGAAGCTAGATTTACAATGAGAGGTTAAAAAAATGTGGACTTTTTCCCCCTGGAAAAATATATTTTACACACGTGCCTTGCCACAGATTGCAACTTGTATGACAGAACGTTACAGTAGGTAGGCAGGAGAGTGGGGAAGAGTCGCTGATCAGGTGAGGCTGGATGAACATGCAGAGCACATGACAGACAAGTCTTCTCATAACCTGGCAGTCGCTAGCAGCTGGCAGGATCTGAGCAGCGAGTTATTCAGTAAGGAGACAAATGGATTGCAAGAACAATTCAATACATTTTTTACTGGATTGAAACTGGGACCTCCCTATGAAAATTAATGAATCACCCAGTAGCTGTGTGCAGAGCTGCTCTGTGCAAGGAATATTTGCAATAAAACCTTTCAACCTCACAGACTTCTCCCAGGGAGTATGGAAAGAGCCCTCATTTTTACAAACAGCATTTTGCAACAGGGACGGTGGGGCTTTTTACCTGATTCCTTCAGCCTAAGCTGCATTTATTTTATCGATTTAAGCCCACCTGACTGCCATCATATAAACTGCTCCGCTCATTTCATACACCAACACAGAGAAACTTCCAGGGATGCAACTGTCTTGCATGGCAAGTTAGGTCACTGGTGTTTCATAAGCGCACCGAAGCCTAATTACTAGCGCTCTTGAGCAAGTATTTTGGTGACAGCGATGCTTAGGGAAGTTGCCCAGCAAAAGAGGTCTGATAAAAAACACCAACTCTGGACTGCAGCAACACAGCCCAAAGAAACACCATTACAGCGTATGTGTGTGTGGGAAGGAAGCAGGAGTATTTTGCTGTCTTAGCAAGGGGAATCAGCTCAATGAAGGTTCACACAAGCATCAGAGCTGCTGCACGGGAGGGGGCTGGTTATGTGAAAGGCACAGGGGAAGGATGAGGAAGGAAAGAATGAGAATCCGCCCCTTTGGTGGCAGCAAGCTGTTACTTTGGAGCAGCTGCCCATGGACTGCAGCTAGTGGTGCTTAAGAGCACATAAAGAGAGCAAACGCTATTACGGAAGCATCTGAGGCCTTGCTTGACAAACAATGTATTACTGAGAACAGCGTAAACGTAACACTGTTAACAGAACAGCTTTTAAATAAGAGAATTGCCCAGCACAACAGATGACAGCTCAAATGCTTCACACACACACGATACTCTGCCTCAGAGATGCTTTTTTACAGTTACGATCAGTCAAGCAGACAATGGTCAGCCATTTCAATCTCGTATTGCAATGATTCTCCATCTAGCATCAGTGTCTCCCCTAAGATATTGCAATAGATACAGCAATGGTGAGAATACCTACTCAGATCACAGATGGCAATTCCTCCCAGGCAAGATAAGAAAGTATTTAAAACACGATTTTAGAAAAATGCTTGACTTCTGAAATTAGCTCTTTCAGTAAACCTAAGTAGTTGTTTTAATAGCCAATGCTGTACCATAGACTAATTTATCCATTACAATACCTTTCTTAATATTGCATACTAAAATTATAATATAAAATGGAACTTGAGTTAATGAACAAGATTATTTGAGGCAATTGTCTGCGACGGCAAAGACTGGATTTCCTAGAACTGGAGGTCCATTCCTTCTCCGATTTCTGTGAAATCTGAAATCGCGATGCCAATATGTCTGGACCTCTTTTTAGCTGAAGCAATTGCTTTTTCTGCCCTCACCTCCTCTTTTGCCTTTTCTCTGAGTCTTGTCTCCTGGTGTGTGAAATGCTCAACTTTTGCATCTCCATTACAGCCACATGAATAAACTGATTTGTAGCTGAGCTACTGCACCAGAAAAAAAGAGGTACCAAAATAATTTCTCATCTAGATGGCTTTTTTTTTTCTGAAACCTGAGATTGACTTTATGTCATGTGAAATACTGTTTGACCTAGAACGATTATATTTGGTTTTCTGATACTTATTCAAAGGGCCATCAGAAATTTAGATGCACAAAAATGCTGAAGGAGAGGCATTGGGACAGATAGGAAGACACAGGTGCCTATAATTTGTGTCTTATTGCCATATGAGAGACAATTTGTTGGTTTTTTGGCTTTTTTTAATTCAGGAGGTGATAGGATGTTCTAGGATCTGGCAGGCTCATTCCTGTAAGTATTGTTTTAATATGCAAAAAATTTTCCCTGGAGCAAGAACTATAACAGACTTGTCCTACCTGCCAGTGATAGGTAGACACCAGGCGGTTTAAGCTCTCTGGTTTTGTTCACTTGCCAACTGAAATTTCATTGTCACTCAACAGCATGTTAATGATGTGTTTTCTGCTTTTACCCCATTTTTCTCCTTTTTCTCATTTCAATGCTTTTTCCTTTCTCCACCCGCTTCCCGCCCCAGCCCAGCTAGATCTCACTCCTGTACACAATTTGTTCTCCTACCTGGAAGTATTCCACTCTTCCAGCTGTCCCCCACCTTTCCTTTGCCCACCAGAGGCACCTTTCCACATCTTGCCCTCTTTCTTCATGCTCCTGATGCTCTCTCCCCCTGATCTTTCTAAAGAAGTTTGCTTTAAATGGTTTTCTTGATTCTCTCCCAATGTCTCAGTCTCCTTCTGTTGCCACATATTCTTGGAAGCTGTGCTACACAAAATAAAGGTAAGAAAAAAATTACTTTTTAGTGTCAGAGAAGATAAGATGCTTAGCTAGGGTTCAGACAAGAGGTGTTTTTTGGGGGATCTCTGTAACAAGCTAGAAGAACAGACATGCCCTTCTCAAATACTCCAGCACTTGGTACAGGAATACCAGCGGGTGTGGCATAATCCATTTTACAGATACAGGGTTAAAATAGTCATTGTTTTAATTTGTGCCATATATCTCAGGTGTCAGTCACATTGACAAGTAGAACAAGATTCTTTATTGTGCATATTTTCTGTTGAATAGTGCTTTAAAATAGTAGTAGAACACATGCTTTTCATTTAGAAGATTCTGTATTTTACAATCCAGCTTCCCGGTTCGCTGCTCATCAACTTTTTCAGCCTATTACTTATGTAAACTGCAGACCAGTAGGTGTTCTGGAATCTATGGCTGCATCTCATCTGAGAAACAAAAGATGGGCTTTAACCGTGGATAAAGATGCTGCTACTAAATTCAAGTTATTATCTTACCTAGAATGGGAGGTATGAATAAAACTACAGGCATTTCCTTTATTAAATATTGCCCACTACCAGCCTATGAAAACTTCTAGTACGCTTCTGGCCAGTAGGGACCAAAGGAGCTGGATATGGACTAGGAGTTCACACTTGCCCAGACCTGAGCTATCGTCTTGCCAGATTTCTCTCCAAACAAAATGCCAATGGGCAATCTGCTGTATCAGAGGATTTGTCATTCAGATTCTGAAAAGCAGCACTGGCATCTAAGCCTTGCTTTGATTTGTATTTCAAAGGTAACAGACTGGACCCTATGGATTTACTTATCCAGTATGTTTATACGGGAACCAGGAAGGTTTTCTTTAGTATGAAACTTGAATTTATCACAGGCTGGGATTTCAGGCTCATTGTGCTGCTACACCAAGAAACTGTACTTCTAATGAAGGACATGCACGTCTGTAAGGCCTGAGGACGGGTACAAAGAGCACAGAATCTTTCTAACTGTGTTGTCTGCCTTCCCTTGTCTGAGGAAGAACTGTTCTTTGGCAGGAATTACCCAAGTCTCTGCAGTGGTTCCACTGCCGGATCATCCTTAGAACAGAGAATAAGAGACTTTTGGGTCTTCCACTATCTCCAAGCATTGTCAACTAAGCATTTTCACTCAGGAAGCTCTTTTGCCTGCAGAGAAATTAATCAAAAAGGAGATTTACTTCTCAGAAGAAGAGGAATGAATGCATGACAAACTACCATGGCTTTGGACGAGACATATCTACCTGGATCACTTTGTTCTCCTACTGAATCACTGCAGATGTCTCAAGCATTTTTGGAGGAAGACTGTAATTTCTGCTTCTTTGCCGAAACCAAAATGAAGAATTTTCATGGAAGACAAAAGATTAACATGCCAGTTGTCTTCAGCCACTTTATTTGTAGGTTTACTTTTGTGGAGTGGAAAACAGAGCAGGTTTTTTCTGAAGCTTACCCAGGGGAATGCCCTCATTTTTTGTTTGTTTATTCTTAAGAGATAAATGCTTGGTTTTTTGTCTGAAGTAACTCAAAATAAATATGTCTTGGCATCCATAAATGTCACTAATCTGCCCTAATAAGTTTCATGAAGTATAAATACTGTATCTCATATTCAAAGAAAGAGCTGTTACAGCTGCATTAGAAAAACATAATTTCATCCCAGACAGTAAGTGTTCATTTTTGAGGCACTGCTGCAGCTGCAAATCAGAAAACAGAAACTTGTATGGCAACTTACCTGCTTGCTGTAGGTCGGTCCCATTCGTCATCACTCAGCCCTGCATCATGAAATGGGTGGTTTCGTGGTTTGCTTGGAGGGGACAAACTCATCTGTTTAGGACTCCTCCATTCATAAGCATTGAAGTTGTATCCTGAAGCCTGATAGCTGTGTCCTAAAAAGATGAATTATATATTTGCAACACCGTATATGTTGTAATGACAGAAAAGCACACCTTTGAAGCTGGGTTCTCTAGAACTTGGATGTAGACTCATGATTGTCACCTTTTTTTTTCACAGTACTAGTGTGACCTAAATTATGCCTGGAATTAGGTGTGCTCTAGAGCTTCTCCTGTGAAAGTGTCTTGAAAGCAAAATCTTAAATACATCTAACACCGTTCTCATACTGTTTATGTCTCAGCTGCTTCTGATGTTTAGTTCTAGACATCTTCACAATTCATCGATTTCCAATTTGACATCATACATTGAATACTACTGAATAAATCACGTGAGTTATGGATGTGTTAAATATGTGTTAACCTGGTCATGTGCAACATGACCAAAATTAAACCTAAGCCATTCAGAAAACTGGTCTTCAGACCTATTGAAAAAAGAATTTGCAAGGATGCATTTAAAAAACCCATCAACTTGACTTTTCAGACGACTAACAAAAAAGTTTTTTCTTCCTCCTGGTAACTTTCTCAAATTTGGAAGCAATGCAGCCAAAAATTAGCGTCAATTATGCACAATACTACCAACCTGTAGAATGGCTTCCTAGATGCAAAAGTTGGCACGGTGCAGAGGCTCTTGAGTGACCATTAACTGGAGTAATGCCAGAACATAAAGGAGGGTGGATGTCTCGGCACCGCTGAGGCAAGGACTCATTAATACAAGTGCAGGACCACGCTGTCACAGCCCTGCGCTGCCCTGCATAAAGGCCAACATGGGAATCTCTGTACCATGCCCCTTTGGAAGGGGGACTTGCACTTAGCAGAGCTACTGCTTTTTGGTAGGGTTCCAAGAGCTGAGAAAAGTCCCGTCTCACAATGGGCACGCATGCCTGGCACCAATATCCACCCTTGGAAAGCTCACCTTGCAGAAGGTGATTTCTCTGTCAGCTATTTCCAAATATCTCAAGGCTGTGTAAGTGGCATCAGACAGCCTTTGTATCTGAAGAGTTTATTTCTGGGTGCTTTTATCATACAAGCAATGTTGGTATTAGTTCGATAGTATTTCTTAAACCAAACTAAGTGTAATTTGAATTCCAAGTAGGAACCAGACAGTCTGGCTTCCAGGTGATGTATCAAGAACACATGGATCGACTTGTCACAAGCTGATGCTGATCTGGTAAGAAAAATGCATTATGGTAGAGCTGCTATATAAATATTTCATCTTGACAGATTCTTTTTCTAGCTCTATAGCTGGTGTTTTCTGATGTGCATATTGGATTAGGAAGCTCTATTTTGTTGATGACTAACAAATATCACTGCTGTCACCTCTCTAAAGAGGGCAATTTGCTTCCATAAATCAGTCTAGACCTGTCTCCCTCAAATCCCACGTAACTACAGAGTTGTGTGTGTCTTCCAGCTCACTGGCAGACATTAACATACTCCCAGGTTCTAGGAAGGGTTTTGGTTGTGAAAATGTCACTGCTGTGTGGGGAAGGCTCCGGATTAGTAAGGCATATGCATTAGACAAAGGTACAAAATGGGGTATTAATTCAAGGAGAGAAAAGACTTCTCAATGGCATTAAATTAGTAACTAATAGGATAAAACATTATCTGGTGCTCCAGAAACATTCCTCAAACTCCTCAATTTGCTTAGCCTGTGCTTATGCCAAGAAAGGTTTGGAGAGAAGCCAAACTCAACTTGACAGGTCAAGATAAAATGAACTTTAATAGAAATGTGGGTCATATTAGTACCACAGCAAGGGATAAGGCGCAAATCTGATTATACTCAGGCTGTTTAGCAGAAGTGCCATGTAAACAGCCAAGTCTGGGCTGATTTTTCAAGGGAATTAAAAAAAAAAACCTGCTTTGAGATACTGGTATAGTTTTAGCATGGTACTCGAATGATCAGGACTTAGGAAAGCAGCCTGGGCCTCAATCCTTTAGACAGTTGAACAATTTGCTCCAAATATCACCAATTCACCCAGGAAATGAGAATTATAATTTTGACGCTTTTTCAGCAATACTTATCCTTAGAACTTAAAAATATCAGAAGAAAATCTAGCATGATTTATTTTGATAAATTGACCAAAACAGTTAAAAGCAGAAAAGGGGACAAATTCACCCCAACTCGGACTTCAGTGAAATACAAATTATACAGGGGGGTGGGGTTAGCCCAGTACACTGAGTATGAAATAAAATGTTATATGTAACAATAAATTAAAAGCAATATGTAGAAAACAGGATTTATAGTTAAATGTATCAAGGCTGTCTTTTTAAAAGCAAGTTGATGCCAAATATATGCAGTAAGGCTAAGAAAAAACTTAAAAAATTAAAGAACAGCAAAAAAGGGCCACTAGTAGTGACATCAGCTACTTCTTGATCTCAAGTAGCTCAGCAGGTTTCAAAGGAAACATTCTGCTTTCCAGAAGAAACCACCAGTGTTATCACTGAGCAGGCACATTAGAGAATAGCAATGAAAGTAATCAGCACAGAACTTCAGCCTATATGGGAAATCTGCTGGGCAGAGCTCAGTTTCAGTTCTCTGTGTGAGGGTACAAAACATCTGTCCATGAGCTCCTGGAAAGCAACAGAAAGAAACAGAGAAATAAAATTGAAAGAATGTGTGCAACTAGAGTGAGCGAGAGAAAATTATTTGAGGTAAGGATCTACCTGTCCAAATACCTGCCAGGTAGTGGGAACACCTGCTTTATGGAAATAAACGTTTTAAAGATAGTTAAATAAAACACTGAAGCTGTGTGGAAATTATTTTTCTTGTTACCTAGAATCCTACAAGATGTCCGTATTCCTCAGGGCTGACATAGATGTGTCTTACAAATTAAAATGGGATTATTTGAAAATCCTATATAAAACAACAGTCAAAGAGCAGTAGAAAATCTAGCATTAAGGAAAATCATGTCTCTGAATAGGATGACTGTTTTTTAGGGCTGAAAGTTAGATGTTAATGCTGCAGGAATGAAGAAGAACCAGAAGATTTACAAATCATAAGCAATGCCTAATGTTCCTCCTTCAGCAATTTATAATAAATTTATTGTCGGTTAAAAATTACTGCATATGGGCATCAAAGTCACGAACATTTTCAGTGCGTTCTGTGCCTTGCATTGATCTGTATTTGAAGGATAAACTCATTTAGTTGTGGATGAACTATGGACCGGGCTATTCAGATGTCAGTAAAGCCAACAAAAACCTGTTAATGTATTGATAAATGCTTCATAACATGTCGCGTCGTCATGAAAGAATGAATCTGAGGCCAGCCAAGTGTAAGAAATCATGCTGCCTGGCGAGGCATGTGGACATAATGAGACACCAGCACATTACAAAGTACAAGGTTTGAAGTTGGTACAGATCAAGTTCTCTTTAAGGCAAAGGAAGGTCAACCACAAAGGCAATAATTTCTACTTTAAAATGTTGATTGCATTCTTGATGGTACCTTGATTTCCAAAGCTGGTATCAATACCAGAGCCATCCCACGACTCTACTGCGCTGTCAACACTTGGGACTGTAGTGGAATAGATGTCTGAGAGTTTGCCAGATTTCTGTGCAGCAGAGTTTTCATCTTCAGCATCGCTCAGTTCACTTACGTGACCCACAGGGACAGAAAATTTCTTGGGACTGGTAGCTGAATAGAATTATAAAAAAAATAAGGAGGGGGAGTGGTCATTGCTTTACTGCAGTTCTAAGAACATGCTTTTTACTACTGACACCATGTTTTTCCAGGGATGGCCTAAACGCCTGCTAATCTGTAACAACACATGCATTAAAGACCAATGATGCTATCCTTGGCCATACTCACCATCTGTCTGCTTCTTGATTTTCAAGGTGACAGTTTCTCCTGCCATCTGTAATAAATGAATGGCTTCACTCAAAGGTTTTCCTTTCAGACTGCTACTATTTATTGCTAGGATTCTGTCTCCTATGTGAATTGCCCCAGTCCTACAATAAGAGAGAGAAGTAAAACATTGAGGAGCACAAAAAGCAACAAAGGTGATTTCTTTGCATATTTGGAGCATGAAGGTCTCATCTCCTTTTCTTTCTTTCCTTTTGCTTTTATGGCTGTGTTACAGAGTAATTCTTTTGTTAGAAATGCTTAAAGCAAGCCACCTTTGTTGTACTGACAACAGCAGAGCTGAGGCACAGAGATGTGGATTTCTGTGTTACTGTGGTAGTTGAGTTAATCACCTACAGAGGATATTCATTGCAGCCCACCTGTTTAAGAGCAATCTCAGACAGCTCAGTAAGTTCTGAAATGAGTCAAGTTTCTAGAAGTCTCATAACATAACAGATAATGGCAGTGTGAGCAAGTAACCAGCTATTTCACCAGTGTGGCTTTCAGGGTGGATCACATCAGGAGAAGAAAATAAATTCTCTTTGTGTAAATGCACTGTTTGTTCTGGCTGCGCACCGTACTGTGTTCTGTGGGTGCTGTAGGCTCTCTCTGAAACCACCACCAAAGGTACCAGTTGCAATGATGCTACCTGTCTTAGAAATAACAAGCGATAGAAAACCTGAGCATTTTCATTATTCTCTATCCATCACTTACCAGGAGGAGCATCTCCACTCCTCAGATAATGCTTGCTATGGTGTGTGTAAGTGCACATACAGATGCAGCGTGTGTATACGGTAAGTGGCAGATAAGTGTACAGTAAGTTCAGATAAACTTAGACACGTTGAAGTGCTTTCCTAACCTATTGTACTATACAAGGCTATTGCTTTTAAAAGGCTGCTAAAATGTTCCTGTGACTGAGCAGCTTGATTGACTAGTCTTTCCTAGGTGATTTATAATAAGGACCACAATCCTCTGCTCTGTCTTGTATAGTATGTGCAAGAACATCTTGTTAAGATACCGTTCGTGCTCCTGAACTTGGCAGTGATCAAGAAACAACAGCAAAAAGATTATAAACTCAGATTTGGAGAGTTATAAAAAAAATAAAATTGTTAAAGCATGAAAATCAGCATGTTCAGGTAAACAAAAGAAAGCTTCATTTTGACAAAAAGAATGCTTAAAAATAATTTGCTTTCCAATTTACCTTTCAGCCAATCCTCCTTTTGTAAGGCTGGAAATGATTATGGGATCAAAGGGCTCTTCAGTACCAGAGATTGTAATTCCAAGAGGCCCACCATAGCGCTTGAGCTCAACAGTATAAATAATTGCTCCTGAGCTCTCCTGTTCATCTGCAATAAATGCCAAGGGGATGCAATTGGTTTCTTATGAAAGAGGGAATGAAAAAAATAGCACATTCAGTCTAGTGACTGGTAATCAAACAACATTTTCAAAGGATTACATTTCAGATACACTTCTTAATCATATTCTACTGGATTATGTCGAAAAAACCAAAACATAACCCCCAAACCTCTCCTGTGCAATTTCCTTTTTATTAGCAAAACCTGATTACATTGAAATCAATAGAAAAACTCCCCTCATTCTATTAAGACTAAATTCTACTCTGGTTAAAATCTTTTTATCTTCTTTCCTATTAAAATATAACTTCAGGCTATTTTCTTACAGAATCACAGAATGGTTGAGGTTGGAAGGGACCTCTTGAGGTCACCTGGTCCAATCCCACCCTTCCCAAGCAGGGCCACCAGGATCAGGTTGCCCAGGACTGTGTCCAGATGGCTTTTGAACATCTCCAAGGATGGAGGCTCCACAGCAGCTCAGGGCAACCTGTGCCAGCGCTTGGCCACCCTCACAGTAAAGAAGTGTTTCCTGATGTTCAGGGAGAACCTCCTGTGTTCCAGTTCGTGTCCATTGCCTCTTGTCCTGTCACTGGGCACCAAGAGCCTGGCTCCATCTGCTTTACATCCTCCCTTCAGGTATTTATATACATTGATAAGATCCCTCCTGAGCCTTCTCTCCTCCAGGATGAATGGTCCCAGCTCTCTCAGCCTTTCCCCATAGGAGAGATGCTCCAGTCCCTTAATCATCTTGGTGGCCCTTTGATGGAACTGCTCCAGTATGTCCATGTCTCTCTTGCACCAGGGAGCCCAGGACTGGACCCAGCACTCCAAGTGTGTCTCACCAGGGCTGAGCAGAGGGGAAGGATCAGCTCCCTGGACCTGCTGGCTGTGCTCTGCCTGATGCAGCCCTGGAGCCTGTTTGCCACATTTGCCACAAGGGCACATTATTTAGAGAAAAGACAAGTTACTACTGGTATATATACTGGTACTCATCTGTTTCTTGAACTGAATAGAAGGTATTTAGAATAAAAGATAATTCAAAAATTTTAAACCCAAACTTCCTTAAAAGAATTGTGGGAAAAGTCAAAAGTCATGATAAGATAAGCAGCTGTCTTGCTAAGAGAACCTGAAATATATCCCATGTTTTTGATGGACAAGTTTTAAGCTTTTGTAACAGAATCAAAAATAGCTTCTGAATTCTGAGTTATCAACTAAATTGAATAATAAATCATTAGATTTGGTTTCATTATATTGCATGAAGTAATTTGCATTATTTTGAAATTTTAGTCTCACCAAACAGTCATCAGAAATGGAGAAGACTTTGTCACTGGGTAAGCTTAAATACAATGTATTTTCCTTAAACAATACCCAACAGGTGTTGCAGAAAGAAAGGCTCCTGTATTTATACAGTGCATGCTCTTTACATATTATCAAAAAAATAATCAGGAGAGCAATCAACTGTGGTATCTTTGAGTTGTGAAGGGATATTTTAAAATTTAAAATGTCAGATTTCTCCTCAGATCAAAATAACAAATGCTCCCTTGCCCATCTTATGATATTGGTATTCAGCCAGGACATCTGGCCTGGCGGGCAACTTTTCCTAGATCTGTGGGTAATGACATTTCGAACGGCTCACCGAATGTGGAAAATGTCTAGGATGCACATTCCGTAAATGTTACTGGAACTAACCTGAGACAAGTTAGAAAATTCAAACATTCCCATTTCTGTTCCTGTAGATAGAAAAACTTTAAAAGGAAAGAAGATACCTGCCTCACTAGTAAAGGTGCAAAGAGTTGCCTTTTTCTAATGCTGAACATGGTACTTAAGCAAAGCTGGAGAAACACTGATATCTTTGGAGCGACTTTGTTTCCTCCCAATTTGCAGAAAATTTAGGCTTTTAGCTTCCCTCAGCCCCAACTCCCTCCTATTCCTCCCATGAAGAAAATGGGACACAAAGAGAATCAAAGGAGAGAAGAAGGAGTGGTGTTTATTCAGCAAAGAATACTGGGATTTTCATGCCTAGCATTGGCCTTGTATTCCTACCTGGGGCATTATCATCGGTGTTTTGGCTCAGTTCACATCAACTGTGCTTTATCTGACGTGCTCTTCCCAGAAGCACCCAACTCCCAAGACCCCACTGGAAGCCAATGGCTGGCATACAGTGGGCTAGCACGTAAGCTGCACTGCACAGCTTGCTTGCTGGAGCATTTATGGAACAACAACAAATCCTCTGGGATCTAATGCTGATAACATTTACACAGGCGTGGCATTGACACGGTACAGGACTTCAACTGAAGGATGAAAAGTAACCCATGAAGCTAACTGAAAATGTAATAGCCAGTATTTGCTAAGGGTCGACACAACACTGATGTTTCTCCACTATCAACAGCAAGTGAATAAGTTATTAATCATACAGCAGCCCTGCCACATGACAGTGGGAAGTTTATAGATCTTAGTGAATGACTGGAAAGGAGACTGGTCCATTACATCTGTCTTCTGGTTAGTCCTAGTTAAGAAAATTAATGGCAGAATGCAACAAATGTCAAATTGCTACACTGTTCTCTTCAGCGCTCTTTCCAGGCAGCAGAAATGTGAGCTATCCAAGAACATGGCATATATGTGGCCTGAATTCACAATGAAGGCCTGTGTTGTCATGAAAGCAAAGAACTCTGATACTCAAAAAAGGCTGGTAGCCATTAGGTTAATCAGGAGATAAAAATGTCCTCAGTTTGGGAAGCTGTCAGGAAAAAAAGAAAAGAGAAAAACTGCTGAAAACACACTCCCACCTGGGGAGGAAATACAATCACACTACCATGTTTTTGGGTCTCGTGTTTTTGAGATTTTCCTTCTTTCTTTTTGTGATGCAATTATGGACAGTTCTTGGAAAGAAACAACATTTAATGAAAGTAGACCCTCTGTGCTGCAGTGCCTCTGCTCTGTCCACTGGTCTCTTGCTCTTCAGAGTAACACCTGATCAGTACAGCCAAAAGGGCAAAGAGGAGCATGGTCTGGGGGAGCACACGACGTGCACTAGCCTGCTGCTGGCCTCACCTGCACGGCTGGCTCTGAGGAACACAGCTCTGAGACACGTACGACTCTCTGGAGAAGGGAGGAGTTGGAGAGACAGCAGAGAAAGGAAAAACAGAAGGCAGAAAGAAGAGCTAGAAGCTAGAAATACTTAAAAAGGAATATAAAGAGCTTGAAAGACAGTGAGGAAACAAGAACTTAGGGAGGACCTGCTCCCTGCCTTCCCCTCTTCAAAGAAGCGTGCCATGAGAAACTAAAAAAAAAGTTTAATTCTTAATCTTATTCTGTGATTTAGAAAGTCTTTTGGAGTGCTCCATGTCTACTCATCTATTAGCATCAGGCTTTTCTGTTCTTGGTGAATTTATTAATGATTTTTTTCTGTTGAGTTTGAGAAGCATGTTCCTTTTCTTTGTGAGAAAACAGACTTTCATAAATAGACTAATGGCAAATAAACATAAACTGGTGTTAATTGAGGTACACTTTTTGGTGTACTTTTGCTACTGTTTTGCTGCTGTTTAAAAATATTTTTCCTTTGGTATTTCAGGAGATACTCATTCATTTTAGATTTCAAAGTACCTGAAACCTACTAGAAATACTTTCAGTTACACTTTGACACTTAGTCAACTGTTACAAGAACCATTTTAGCTTTCCATTTACATTTGCATCTGTTCAGTTACACCAATCATGTCTGGATAGGACAGGTGTAACTGTGTGAGAATCTTGATAAAGATATATGATGTAACTGTAAAATAAGCAACGTGAATGTGCAAAAGAAAACCATGGAATAAGAATCTCACTCAGACTAAAATCTGTACCAGCTACCATGGTGTGCAATACTTAAGCGAGAGCAAAGATGTTATTTTACATGGGTGGAGACTGAAATCCACATTTCAGTGACAGCAACAGAAAATGTGTACCAATTTCAATGGAAATGGAAGCTGTCCTAGAAAAAGATTAAGTCCACAGGGTGAGGGGGAGTGGGGGGATGACACAATACATACACAGGACAAACCCGAAGTATTTAAAAGTGTGGGAGAAGTTACTACTTCTTCTACATGGCTCTAACTCATGCCCTTCTTCATGGTCTGTTGGTAATTTCTCTGCAGGGAGTCTCATTAATAACCAACGAGTCAACGAGGGGAAGAACAGAACCCTTCCGGTGCAGTAGAGAACTCAAACTTCCTTCTATGGGCATTTTTCCTGTCAATCTTCTGCCAAGTGTATTTGCAGTTTGCTCTTCATAACGTACCTGGTTTGCTCAGTTTTGTGAAGCAACTGTCAGTCAGGTGTTCCTTTGGATGTACAGTCCATGGCCAGTTTGGCCAGCATCTTCCAAGATGGATCAACTATCTGTAGCAAATCCCACCTCACCACCTGTGGGGACCTCACCACAACATCCTGCCTAGCAGCGGCCATTCACTTTGCTGGATCACATTCTACTCCCAAAAGCCAATTTGCTCAAGGTGCTAAATGCATCTGCCTTTGCTTTGTACTGATCATACTGAGAAGATACTTTCTATTTGCTTTCAGAAGCAATTAAAGGAAAAGAGCATTCCAGTGCAATTCTAAACACCATTTCAACAGTTGCACTTGATTTTAAATAATAAAGTGCGACAGGCTGTGCCTTTTTGCTGTGAGATTCTATAGAGCTTAAGACAAGTGAATCTACAGTTCATGCTTTTGCATAACACTGTAATATAAATCCCAGCAGTAGTGGTAGTAGTAACTGTCTAACTTCCTTTGCCACTAGAATGCATAACAGAACTCGCTTTATTATCTCCAGGTAGAAATTTTGCTCTTACGGAATCCATAAAGGGGAAGATCCAGGAATATTAATAGATGTAGGTGTGCAAAATTATGACAGCTCCATTACTTCCACTGGGCTGATCAGACATGGCTCCTCCATCAGCCATCCAGCACAGCGTGTAAAGTACTGCTTACCTTTAAGCATGTGAACAGTCATACTGAAGTCAAGTTTCTAAGTTTATGGATAAAGCATGCACTTCACCATTCTGCTGGAGAACTGAGGCCTATGGATCCACGCTTTGCTAGCCAATCTTAAAAGCAGAGAAAACCTCAATATGCTGGTAAGAGAAAACTACCCTTACATGGTTGCACCTGAGGGGAAATTGCCTTTCCAGAAAGAGCTCATTTTGCAGTGCAGCTCCTGCAGGCAATATAGCCATGGAGAAAAAGCAAAACCTTATATACCATTACAATTCTTTCTAGTGTGACACCTTCTGATTAGCATTAGCGTAAATCACCCACATTTAGAAAAAATATTTCACTAACATTTAAATGCAAAAGAATAACCCTAGGCTCTAAAAATCCCCAAACCACTCAAGAATCTGCAATAGTCTCATGGCTAATACCAGAATTATCTTCAAACCCTGAAAATACACAAAAATCTGCAATAGGCTCATTGCTAATACCGGAATTGTCTTCATCTTTGCGGATCTTTAACTTTACAAGGTCCTCACAGTGCTGAAGGATCTGAACAGCATCTTCCATTGAGCAATTGTCAAGTCGAATGTTATCTATTGCAAGCAACTTATCACCCAGTTCAAGCGTCCCCGTTCTGTGAACAAGCAAACAAGCTTACATGAAATTCCAGTAGCATTAAAGCAAGGTATCTCAGAAGGTATGAACATTATTATAGAAATGAGATGGATTTTTTAAAACAATTATTTCTTAATGGCTGGACATTTAATTTGTAACTGCTGTTCACAAAATAAAAGTACAAGTCTCTTACAAGCTCCCTCTGTTTAACTTGAGTCTGGCTGGCTATGCAATGGAAACAGATTTTTCCCAGAAGCTTGAATGTCTTACCTGTGAGCAACGCTTCCTTTCTTGATATCAGAAATAACCAGAGGGTCCCCTGGTTTTCTGCTGGATGGAGCTGTAAGAAAGAATACATACAAGTATCTGGTTTTTATTTCTAGAGACGCAGATGGGCTAATTCTGCCCACAAATCAATATTTCATACACATTATTTAACCGTATTATATTTCTCTCTTTTCCCTAAATTGTATGTACATGAATACAAACAAACAGCAGCAGCATATTAGTAAGACTGCATACTCTACCTCTCAAAAATTAGAAAATGCCACAATTGAGGTGACTGGCGCAAAGTGAATTTAACCTGATATGTCTGAATTCTGGGTTAGGCCAGGACTGAACCATGTGAAGATATCACAGTACAGCTCCGGTGATCTGTCATAAAATGCTGTGTAGCTACAACACATAAGGAAGACTCTCTGTTCGTAGAACCTTTCAGCAGAACTACTAATGCTGATCTTTTGCCAGAATATTGCTGTCAGTCATAAATCATGTTTTATTATATCCCTGACCAACAGAGCTGCTCTGGCAAAATATCTGGAGTGGGCTAGACCATGTTTCTTTACTCCTGTCTCATTCAGTGCTTAAGGTAGAGGGATGAAGATAATGCTTCCTGGGTGAGAAGGAGGAATCTACTTCACGGTAAATGAGATGCTGTGGATAGTGGCTATGCATCCCATTGGGCTGATGCGCAGTTATCACGTCTGCAGAGATGCAGCTTACATCACACGGATGCTTGCTTCACTGTGACTCGCTGCTTCCTCTGAAGCAAACATGTGCTTCTTCTGATGGGTAACCTTGCTCCTCTATACTGCTGCTAAGCCTCAAGCATTGTGGACTTTTCCCCACTTTGTACTGAGGACACGTACTAGAAGCCCAGCAATTCCAGCAATGGTCAAATTAGTAAAACTCCCACCAGTCCTCTCCTCGCACACCTAACTTGTCTCTTCTTGAAGGTATCTGACCTAACTTTCAATTTTCTATCTGTCCATCATCATTAAAAGGATGCTCTGTTCTACAATGCCAGTCATTGCAATTCTTTACTGACTTGTGCAAAAGTATTTGACAAGATTTCCTTGGTCAGGCATTTGCATAGCAATTTTGCTTGACTTTTGGTTGCACAGGAAGCAGTTAACTACCGCAGAGGAAGAAGACGACGATTACTGACTGCTTCCAGAGGACCGTTTCTTGGGGCACCTTCACTGAATGCGTTGTTCTGGAGGGTTCATCCATTTGCTGACAGAACACTGCACTGAAGATCTGATAGGGTAAGCAGTGGGCTCAGAACTTGAGGGTGACGAAAGACACATTTTTAGACAATGGTGCGGCACCTACTCTCTGCCATTGGGAAGTACACCACCTACAGCTGCTCTGGCCAGGAGGTATCCCATGTAGTGAACAGACTGACTTTTGGGACTGTTATTAACAAAGAAGGTGCTAATACTAAAACATTGCCACCTGGTATAAGGCTCTCAGTTCACCTGAAAGTGCTAATGGTTTTTGCAAATGTAGGGCTCTTCAGTTGCCCCAAGCCATTTCTGCTCTGTATACTGAGGCTTCTGCATTCATTCCCAGAAGGTACTTTTCCATTAGGCTCTAATGCCTAAATGACAATCACTCCAAAAGCTACCCATATTGCAGGATCACCTACAAAATCCTGATGTCAGTTACTTTAGCAGCTCATGATTCTTCTCTTTGATGGAAAATGACAGATCTTCACCTACAGCAACCACAAGGTGTATTAATAATGACATTTCCAACACAATACTCTAACAGATCTTGTTAGCCTTGGCTGCCCTGGCCAACAAAGCCTTTGAATGTCCAAAGGAACTGTTTAAGAACTGCTAAATAGCCATATTTCAAATGCAGTGTCTCTAAAGTCCAGAAGACAGACATACAAGGACTTTCAACTTGTCTAAACCAGCACGCTTTCAGGAAATGCCTATGTTGCAATTTAGAGAACAACAATTAATTTTTTGCGAGATGTGTAATTTTCATAGCTTGTTTCTCATACTTTCACACCAAGGGTCAACTGTATCTTAAATGACAGTTCCATGATTTACTTGAATTCTTTGGGTTTGTTTCACCAATTAATATCTTGCTAAAAATTCAAAGTACCACTTTGGGGATTTTTTTTTTTTTTAAATTCTACGTTTTTACTCTCTGGATTGCCTTATAAATCTCTGAGGTTATATGCCACCCAGTGTACAATGTCTGCAGTTTGAGATTTGAGTATCGAGATAGTTTTTATGCAACTGTTTTATAAAAATTACCAGTACTAAAGAAAAGAGTCCATTACTGTTCCAAAAAGAAGAGAGAAGGACCCAAAATGGAGGAGCGAGTATAGCTCGAAGCGTGAAGCCACAGAGTACATGTGGATACAAAGGGCACGATATTGCACACAAAGTTACTACAGTATCAAATTGGGTAAGTGTGAACCAGCAGTATTTTGTCAGTTATCCTGGGCTATTAATTGTGTCTGGTGGATGAAAGCCTTTTTGTAGGCAGCAAACACAGCGCAGTGTGAAATGAATCCCCCCATGCTGACACGCCCTTAATAAGCAGCTACACCACACTTTGTTTTATTCTTGTTCAATGCTCATGACATACTTAATACAAACTATTCAAGTTGTGTTGCAGAGATAAAATCATTAATTTCCTCCTGAACTTTTGTACTGCACATCACCACAGCCTAAGACTGCCTCCCAAACACTAGTGAACAGATGCTGTCTCCAGCAAGAAGACTGAGTACTATTATTCTGATTTTACAGATGAGGAAAGGAAACAAGAACATTTAGGTCAAAGAATGACAATTTTCAGTGAGCAATTTGAGATATCCATGCCTTTATTTCTCACAATAGTTTGTAGTATATAACAGCTTCTATGTCCAAAGCACAACTACTGGCATTTTCAGCAACAGCTGCAGATGCTCAGCATTACTGTGAGTGTGACCCAGGATCTCAACAGTTTCCACAGAAAGTCAAGCAGATGCTTGAGGAAAACCTCTCCTTCCCCCTCCTTCTACCCCCCCACCCCATGAAATGACTTGTCTCAGTACACCTCTATTGCAGAGGAAAGGAAAAACCCCTAATTTCTCCAGGGTAGCATTAAACCGTCTTGACCATGAGATCACCTCCTTTTTCCTTCTGCAATCCTCCACCTCATTCATTATGCAGCCTCCATCCCCTTCGATACGCACCACTGTTTCATCTCTCCCCAGAGAGCAGAGAAGGAAGAGTCCCAGTGAGAAAGCAGTATTTGACCACTTAATTAAAAAAGATATCCTCATGAATTAACTCAAGTTTGAAGTGACACTGTACAGCTTTAAGTGTCCATTTTTATGTTTCATTTCAGAATATTTTTTGTTTTTAAGAAACAAATAAAACCAAAGCACCTTACCACTCACCCATGTCCAGCCTTCTTGTTCAAGTCTCAGCTTCCCCTACCCCGATCACTGAGCAGCCTCCCTCCTTATCTGCTGTCTCCCTGTTATGGCTCTCCCCTCATTTTCTCTCCTTGTCCACTGAAGATCTCATCTTTTCTCCTCCTGGGTCCAGCTGTTAGTCTACCTAATGTTGACCTTTTGTAGAGACCTTACACAGTCTGTATGATGAACTACAAGTAGACTGAAGAGTGCATAAAGTGAATGGTATGGGTACTAAATTTAGTGTCACAGCTGGAAGGCTGATCTTTAGCAAGTTGTTTGTTCTCTTCCTTTAAATTACTCCATGATCCTAGGTCTCCGTCCCAGGCCTCTACCCCACTTCTACCAGCAAATACACACTTCCCCTGCCTCTCCCCTGCCACTTGAAAGCAAGTTCAGTGAAGTGTTGTCTGTTTTGTAGATCAGCTGTTCCATTAGGTTAAAAAACCCCTCAAACAACCCTCCTTTCTTATTTCACTGCTAACCCAAAGAGAAAAACCAATGTGACTTAAACAGATTTTGGGGTGGCCATCTCACCTACCACCCAGCCAAAACTCATTTATGAGTCTCAGCCTGGCTTCAAGTTTTGGAGCTTGATCAAACTGAACAAACTGAACAAGCAGAGGAAAATGCTCATGGGATGGAAAAAATAGTTTTTATACAAAGTCAGTCCACTTATCCACTGTGCTGGTTTACAGCTACTAGACTTTTTAAAAATAGTGTGATTATTAAATAGATGAAAGAGCTTTTTAAAATTAGACTGATGTAGCTCTTCTGTTCCATACGTATCAGTTCATGTGGAGCAGCTGAGAAACCTGCTGATTCTTCAGGACCTGTCTTACTTGCAACATTGCAAAATGAAGTTGAGTTTGCTAGGTGAAATCCCAAAATATACAGAAACTTGCTTCAGAAAGTAAATTCTCATAGTCAGTGCTAAATATCTGTAGATATTTACAAAGCTTGCTTCTGATGGAATACAAAAGCAATAAAGCAGACTACAGTATAGCTACTAGTCAAAATGACTTAGAAAACCTGATGATAGTTTGGGTGAGATTCTGATATTCTTACCAGCTTTGCAGCCTCTTATTCCTCGAGTAGTCCCACTGGCTTCAGAGATTATTTAAGAAGCAAGGTGCTGCAGTTCATGACCAGTAAGGATATCAGAATCTTACTTAAGCAAGGAAAGAAAGAAGAAAAAAAAAAAAAAAAAAAAAGAGCTGTTAACTACAATTACCAGACTGTACTAGTAAGTAATTTTCTTGGAAATCATTCAATGTATTTAAAAAATATTAGTCTATGATAAAGTAGCCAGTGGCACAAAAATTTATCTTTAAAAAAAGAAAAAAGTCTATATTCCATTACATGGTCTAAAATCAGTGTGACTGGCAAATAAACTGAAACAGATTTGAACACTGCTAGGTCTACTTGAAAGCCATCCTTCTTCTAGGTAACGGTTCTGTTATAAAAGCATAATCACACACAGAGACACTGCTGTGTCATGCTTTATTTGGATGATGTAATTTTAAGAACTGAGACATTCTAATTGCTCCAACCAGGTAACTGGGTGTGAAAATGTTGGTACCTGAAGCATGGACCATATGGTCACTTACATTTGCAAACTATGAAATAGGGTCTTTATTTGGTGTAAGTAGCTATGAATGGGAAGATTAGACTGATCTTGCAGGGATAAGGGAAGGTTGATAGGATGATAGAAGCCCAGTATGTGTGCGAAGGCAGCAATGGGCAAGGCCAGTATACTGGGAGGTAACGGACATGCACTATCCAAACCTCAGTGCCCTGGATTAACATTAACAATGATGCTCATGAAACTTTTCTCCTGTCTTGCCTTCTAGGGGTTTCTGCTATCTAAGGGGATTTTGAATTTTTTTTTTTGTTTTGTTTTGCTTTTTTACTTGCATTAATAAATCTGAAACTAAAAGAAGCTTAGTCCCTTCCCCTATATTAATGTCATGTTTTTCAAAGACCATGAATTAGCTTAACTGTCTTTAGTGTTGTGTGTCACCTCAGATATGCCTTCAACTACCTGGTTGTAACTCCATGCATGCACACTTGCTGTTTATTACCAAGGAAAACAAGACAAAGGGAGGGAAATAAATTCATCTTCCAGGACATCTGTCTCCTAAGAGCTGGCTTAGAAGAACTCTTGGACTTAAAAATAGGTCTATGTTCAGGTGCCAACCTGAGGTGAGGCTTACTTTTCCCTTCTGACAAAAAATGTCTGTCTTGTCTGTCAGGTCAGGTCATTTCCTGACTTTCTCATCCAAATCCCAAACTAAACTGGGGATGTGGAAAGCAAGACAGGCTTTTCTCTGTAATGTTTTTATAGAGAAAGCACTTTCTCACTCACCATTAACTCCACTACCTTGAGAAGAGAGAGGATGAAACAGGTCTCTAGCACTTAAACAGATCAAGCCCAAAAGTGAATAAACCTCATCTCCTCTATCACCCCTGTTTAAGCCTGGTTATACCAACTGTACTGAGTTTCCCTTAGTATTTGTTTTTTAAAAGAAATCATATAGCTTTCTGACAATCAGTAATAAATCACATGCTAATGTGCTAAAGTGCTCTGACAAAAATATGACAAAATTAATACGAACCACTTGTAATTGTCAAATCACACTGCCTCATTTAGAGGTTAATTAGGTAGAACAGAGCAAAGCACTGAAAAGCAAGCATGAAATATAGCAATTCAAGACTTCTACCAAGCAAATTTACAAACTTTCAGTTATTAGTATAAATCCTTTAAAATCAAATAAATAACTAATCCACATTTCATATGCATTAAACACTATTAATAAGCGGGATTATTAAATATAATGGATAATTCAATTTAAATATTAAAGATACTGCAGTATACTCAGAAGAGCAGAGCTAAGACCAACCAGGTGTCACTCTGATTATAAAAAGCACTAATTTTATAAAGCACTGACTTTTGGAATTAAGCTCCAAGTCAGGAAGGTATGCAAAGTTTGGAAGAGGAGTGCTAAATGCTAAATCCCAACAACATTAGCATTCCATTCAAAGTTTACTCCTACAGACAGAAAAAATGTACAAGATGTCTGAATTCCAAAAAGCAGCACAAATTAAATTACTAGGAAGGCCGTATTTTTACAATAATCCTACAAACTATTACCGATCCTAAGAATAACACATGAACAGAACAGCCTCTCTCCAGGTTTTCTTGTTTCTCAATATTTTCACTTGCACAACTACCTGTAGACCTACAATTTTGCTTCAAGCATCACATTGCATCTTACAGAGCCTAAGAATTACCCATTCAAGTGTGCAACACAAGCAAACAGGCCTGCAGTGTCTCTCATTTGTTCCTCAGATGTAATTCTTCGCACTGAGTTCCCTGCTGTACTTTTGATTAACCTTATTCCATTGTGCTGGTAAAAAGCTTTGAGAATATAAGTCAAAGCACAATCTTCCCCCAGGACACATGAATAATTCCAAAGAAAGACTAATAGTCCAAGAAAGGCCACAACTGTAAAGGAATGTTAATTCCAGTGAGACCGGATTCTGCACTGTCATTAAGTACATTGAACACAAGCCCATTAACTTTGATATGGATTGATCCTCCTTCCATCAAGGGCTGAACTTGGTATGCTGGAGTTCACCTGGTCAAAATCCACTCCTAACACAGCATTTACTGTCTGCTCCCAAAATAAGTAAGGATAGAAGCACTTTGATTTCAAAAACCAGCAAGAAATACTTTTTGAGAAATAGACTAATGCACACCCTTGTTATCTTCTTTAGCAATCTCTGAAACCCCTAGTGAAAAAGGGGATTTTGCTGTGAGCTGCATATTTAGGACTGCCCACTAGTCTTACAGACTGAGGATGTCTCTTCAGACTCTGGGTTCTGAAGCAGAAAATAACCCCAGTCATAGAATCATAGAATCATAGAATGTTTTGGGTTGGAAGGGACCCCTAGAGGTCACCTAGGCCAACCCCCTTGCAGTGAGCAGGGACACCGCTAACTAGATCAGGTTGCTCAGAGCCCCGTCCAACCTGGTCTGGAATGCTTCCAGGGATGGGGCCTCCACCACCTCTCTGGGCAACCTGTTCCAGTGTTTCACCATCCTCAGTGTAAAGAATTTCTTCCTTATATCTAGTCTAAACCTACCCTGGTTTAGTTTAAAACCATTACCCCTTGTCTTGTCACAGCTGGCCCTGCTAAAAAGATTTTCCCCATCTTTCCTATAGGCTCCCTTTAAGCACTGAAAGGCCGCAATCAGGTCTCCCCGCAGCCTTCTCTTCTCCAGGCTGAACAAGCCCAACTCCCTCAGCCTGTCCTCATAGGAGAGGTGCTCCAACCCCCGGATCGTTTTTGTGGCCCTCCTCTGGACCTGCTCCAACACTTCACCAATGTATGTGGATCCTCATGCCTGTGAGAACCCTTGAGTTCAGTGGGGTTCTGTTCAAGAGCCTGTGAGAGACCATAACAGACTTTACTTTGAACTTCCCAGCTATGGAAATACTTTTGCATGGGCCTAATTCTACTGACTTCATTTTTCCTTTTTTTTTTTTTTTTTTTTAAATAATTTTAATGGGAGTTAAATATGGGCTGTGCATGAAGGAATAGGTCAGGCTTTAGGCCTGGCAAACTTCTGTCTTCCTTAACTACTAGAAGGGGAGTATAAATCTGTTACAGAATGGTATTTCATCAGAGACAGAGCACTGCTAATCATCCCTTTCTAGAGAAGGCAAAAAGAAGTTTATACCAAACTAAACATTGAGTCTATACTACAGGACCTACTATCTGCAAATTATGCCATAAACGTGGTCTTAAAAAATAAGCACTTTCACTTACAACTTATGGTGATGCCAAGTTCCACATTATGCTTCTTTGGTAGTTTTACATGAAATGTTCCACTGCTTGGTATAACTGATTCTATAAAAAAATATTTTAAATGTTAGATAATTTATAAGGCACAACAATTCCAAGAGCTATGCGTGTAAGTTGATGAAATCACATCAGCATCACAAGCCACGGATGAAACACAGGTGCTGAAGTGAAAGAAGTAGGACATATGAAGTGTGATTTATACCTCTATTGGCAATTTCACGGTAACTCTTTTTTTTTTTAAGGTTTAACTGAATTTATGGAGATCGCATGGGCCAGCAGCCAGCTGAGACTGCAGGTTTTTACTTGTATGCAAGTTCTGTAAGCACACGTGAAAATTTTAATGCTGGCAGATAACTTTTAATTAAAAGGACAGCAGAAGAAGTCTTAAGGATTTCAGGCCTTTGTTGCCGTAGGTCTAACACATTTTTAACTGTCTGCTAAGGTAACTGTCATGGATTTTACATCTACTGGGAAGAAAAGGAATCAAAACATAACTAATGGAGAAGCGCCTGGAGCTGACTGCGGCAAAACCCACTTCAACACACAGCACTGTATTTGAATCCTGACTTTTGGCATCACTGCTAGCAAAAGTTTGGGCCTTGACCTGAAAAGGCGCGACTGAAATTACAGCTATGAATACATATAAACATACATGTGGCAGAGGAGTCTAACTGTGAGTATGCGTCTGCTGTCACAGAGCAAATGGGAGGAGCACAGACAAGACATACTGTATTTGGTGCTTTTTTTTTAACATTATACAAGATGCACGCATACTAAAAGATTGTACAGAATTACTCTAGGAACCTTTAACCTGCTTTTGATATCATGATTTATAATACCATTAACATTAATCACACTATGCAAAATACAGTGCATCCGACACCGTCATGACTTCAAAGGAGCTACTGTCAGATGAACACAGAAGTCTTAAAAGTTTTACTAATTACATGGTGGGGTAGTGCACATACATAACGTGTACTTGTTTGATTTACACAATTTGTGATTTTCTAAGTGTATTGTCTATGCTTAAACACATTACAGAAGAAAGGAAAGCCATTCACACACAGAATCACAGAATGGCATTAGTGATAATAAAGACTCACCAGCAACATTAAGAATGATTTTTCTGGCTTTTATTAATGCAATTTCTATTCTTTTATTTAGATTGTGGGTTTGAGATAATGTAAGTGAAACTCTTCAGAGTTTTCTGCTTATCCACCCTTTTATAATACTTTTCTGTCTAGTAAAACATTTCGTTAGCTGGCCTGTAGAGGATTTGTCTCAGCTCAGCAGAATATTTCTATCTCAGGGCAGAAAAATGTCCAGAAATAACTCAGAGGAAGGACCGTCACCAGACCTTACTACAGGACTTGTCATTTCTATTTGTGTTCTGAAGCACGCTGCAGGGCTATGTGAAATGAGAAAGCTGTCCAAAAAGACACACGTTTCAAATAGGTCACTTGAAAACTGAATGGTGTATATGTGAGAAGAAAGTCTCCACCTTGGATGCCTAACACTCACAATGTATTTGGGATTTATTCCTTCACTTTTCTTGCAAGACAGAATAACAGTACATTCATACCTGCAACATCAAATTCTATTTCCAAAGTGACCTTGTTGGTGATAGAGGAGTCTCTGAGCAGTTGATTGGCCTCATCAAACGTGCTGTCTTCCGTCGGGATACCATTTATTGCCACTATTCTGTCTCCTATTTGCAGCACCCCACACCTTGGTGGACAATGATACAAAACAATCATCAGAGGTGCATGTTAGCAGAACCAACAATATCAAACACATTCAACCTAACCTTGAAGGAGAAGCGTGGCATAGCAGCTCGACAGCCTACCCAGGCACAGAGGGGGACAGAAGCTGCCACTGCCCCTTTGCACCAAAACACTATCGAGCACTCCCAGCATGGGTCATGCTCTCTAGGTGCTGGGACCCAGGAAGAGGGGCACAGCCTTCATGCCTCCACCCCACCCATGGGCATCACCTCTGCCTCTGACCCTGGGCTATGGGTGGTATAGCTCTGCAATGGCAGCAAGAACTTGCCTGTGCAACTACTGTTGTTCTCATGCCATGATTAAAGGCATACATAAGCATAAAAATGCAGCTGAAATGCTGCAATGAAATCATTAGTAAGTCAAAACTCTGGTAATCCCTAAGATTTGGTTCTGTACCAAAACTGAACAGAGTTGGATATGGCCTCGCCCTATGGCACACTGAATTGTTACTGTTTTGACTTCAGTGGTATTTCTGATTTTTTTCTTTTTTTCTTTTGCATGAATATAGCTTCCAGTCTCCTGCTGGAGGACTCCGGATGATAAAAACACTGGTGCTTGTCATTCTTCTTACAGCTGATCAAGCATATGAAATATCATTGTCAGAACAGACAGTTTATTACTTGCCATGCTTCCATTGAGCAAGGCCCTGCAATTTATCACAAATTGAAAGCAACAAGCCCAGTGTACCCCGAGGAATGCTCACCAAAACGTACTTAGCAGTCAACAGAAAGAACCTCACCTTTCCGCCGGACTGTCAGACTCAATATAGGAAATGAGAGGTGGAGAAGACAAGGTCTCAGTAGCAAACACGCTACCCTGGAGCTGTATCCCAAACCCTACTACGGGGTCAGCTGTCAGCACTACTTCTGTGGTTTCTGTGTGGACGACCTGCCCAGCCAAACCAACAGTGCTAGAGGCTAAAGACACTATAAAACAGAGCAGACCAGGAGGAAAGACATTCATACACAGCAGAAAACTCATTGCTCTTTGAGAAAATTGATCTGTACAACAAATCTAGTCAACAAAACATCTCTTTTAACATCAATTTAGGCTTAAAGTTTATAAATTACATATAAACAGTTATGACATAAGAGAACAGAAAACATCTGGTTGTATGTTAGAATGCAAAAAGATAGTTCTTGTACTGAGTAAAATAAATGTTTGACACCCCCACCCCAAAAATCTCAGAACATCCTTGAATTCTGTTTGCATTAGGTTTGAGGCGTGGAGGAGCAGAATTTTCACAGGAGCTGAGGGAATTGGAGGCACAAGCCCAGCTGTTTTTCAGGCCGATTCCCACGAGCTCTTTTGAGCATCTTACAGAGATGCATTGTTGTTAGCAACAAAGCACACGGCCCAGGCTTGCTTGCAAGAAATAAGGATGCCTTCCTCTTGCACATGTTTACTCCACGTCAGCAATTTGTCAGGCTAACTGGGTAGTGTCAGTCAGTCGAACAAACCCCTGTGTTTTAGCAACCAGTTTATCTCAAGAGATTGTTGAAATTCTTTGGGGTCTCTCAAAGGAACTGGGGGACTGTTCTGTGAGAAACACAGGCAGCTGCTTCTGTACTCCTGATTTACTCCTCCTCTCTATTCTCACTCTTGTTCTGAATAGGCTGCATTACAGAAGAAATCAAGAAAAAACCAACATTGAGATTCAATGGAAATACCTATGAAGGGAGGACACTGCACCTTTGGTTCTTTGATCTCTGCCTACATTGTTTGAACTCCCCCAGTGACAAACTACTGCCTTTCATTAGGTCATACACAGAAAACTAGAGTTTTTCAATTCCTGTTCAGACCAGTAAACTAATGATAACCCTCCAATGTGGAGAATTCTCAATGTTTTCAAGTCATTACCCCTCCACCTCTAATTTCCTTCAAGACTCATTTCTGCCTGCAGTAGCTACTAAGAATTAGATAACAGTTCATGGTTTATCTGAGGGATAGTTTAGTTCATGGTTTATCTGGGGGATTGCTTAACAGTGGATTTCTTTTTTCTTAGATGTGGGAAAAAATTAGTTCTTGTTTTCACATTATAGATGATATTAGCACTGCTGTACAAAGACGTCAGAGGCTGTGTAAGTATTTCCCGCACTTTGGGGCTACAAGCATTAGACTTTTGCTCTGAAATAGCTAGTATAAAATCGGATTAATGTGGCACAGTTGGCAATGACAGTTCTGTTGCAAAAGTTTTGCCTGCCAAAAACCTCATGAGTTTCTGTTTTCTCCCAGCAAAGCTCCTTTCAACTCTGAAATGGTATTTTCTAAATTACCCTGAATTCTCACTCATATCTTGTTTTAATTTTCCTTTGTAAGAATTGTGTATTATTTCAGTCACTCAATAGCTTCCTTCTTACTGTTTCTTTTATCCGCACTCAGTAAGACATGCTCATACCCAAATGCAAATACTAATAATCTGTTCTTAGAAATGGCCACCAGCTTTAGCATTTACAGCATGTGACAAAGGTTTCTCCATCTCTCAGCACTGCAAAGGCTAAAATATGACTAAACCAGATAAATTCAGAGGCAATATAATACCAGATCCCCTAACGCACCTTGTAGAAATGACTAAATTTAGGGCATCCAAGCTCAGAAAAGTTCCATTTTCCCTTTCTTTAAGGTCATTCAACAATTACATGTTAGCTGCATCTTTGCATCCCATCACTTATGTGTCCATTCCCCCTGTGCAGCAGGCACTTAGCTGACTCTGTAACTTTCTTACTCTTTTTCTAATGACCTACCAGGAACCTATAGGTCTCACAACATTTATCTCAACTTTCAGGACAGCTAAGGTTTTAATTCACACTGGGAAATTAAGTTACTATTTGTGGGATTTAAAACTCACCCTGGTAAATATTTTGATGATGTAGATACTTAAAAGTGACAATCAGGAACTCCTCCCACTCCCAAAGAAATTGAAACAGAAACAGGAACAAAAAAAGCAGAGATGAAAATACCCTTTCCAAATCATGTAACAATAGCTGTCTGCTAAGCCTCTATAAAATGCCACAGGTACCCAAACCCAAGACTTAGAGCATCTTGAGGTTTGTAACTCAACAATAATTGCAACAAAAAACACTGCCATTTTTTTTGGCTGCTTGATGGATTCAAAGTTTTACAGGCCAGGAAGCAGCCTTATTGATTGAAAAAGAGGGTATGGATGTATATGTAGCTCCAGTGAATGCTGGTTGCTACTAGTAGGGGTACATTTTAGCATACTTGTATACTTTTCGCCCAACTCTTAGCAACAGTCCTGGGGGCTGGTTTACTATACACTCTGTAGTTATATAAATAATAATCTTGAATTTGAAGATTATGTACTTGTTACTTTTATTCCTGCAGTAATATGAGAAGCAGAGCAAGATGTATTTAAAGGTACGCATATGGATTACTATGCCTGCAGTCTCCTTTGAGAAATTGCAGAATGTTCACTATTCCTCCTGGTAGCAGCTAAATTGTATGGGCTGAGAAAACAGTACTCATGCACGTCTAACACCCTCTCTTAATTTCTACCAGATATGCAAACCTAGTAACTATCATGTGAGTTGGTATAAAATTGTGTCTCACTTTCAAGTACTAATATGGACATATTACAAAATACTTCAGAATTTAAACTTTAACCAAATAATAATCTAAGTGTTTCCACAATGAATACCATATTTTAAAACCCCCAAAAAGCAGAGGAAGAATAAAAATTGAGAACAAGCAGCATAAATAAAGCACGTGACAGCAGGGCAGGCCCTCAATTTTTACAGCCACATGTTTGGAAAGATCTGTGTAACTAATGCAATGATTGTAAAATCATGGCCATAAAAGCCTTGTAACCCCCTGTACCATCACACTTCATCATCATGAATTTTGGCATCTTCACAGTAAGTTATGCGGGTTTTCCTAAATAATTGGCCATGTAAACTTCATAGCACCCTTCACCAAGACGTCCTTTTCTTCCCAAATCATGTCCTAAAAGATTTATTAAAAGTTACATTAATAAAACCCTCAAATGATCCAATTCAATTAAAGAAAAAAAAAAATCCCACTAGAATTAAGAGAGTGTGCTATTCCTTTTCTACATAAAGGACATCAGTTGATGCTACCTGGTTCTCATGAGTCTCCCAGAAAGGGTGAGGGGCAAGGTTTTCGAAGTCCTGTTGATAGGTGGTAGAAGGGTACAGGACCAGTCATTCTCATGATCACTTTTAACACATTCAGTCCAGTGTGGGTCTCTTAAGTTGGCTGTTACTGTGGTCACAAGTATGGGTATAAGTCTATCAACAGGAGTAAGGAGCTCTGCATGGGCTGAAAAGCAAGCTCACAGAAAGGGCAAGCATGGGCTGAAAAGCAAGCTCACAGAAAGGGCAAGCAAGCCTGGCTGGCCAGCCAATTCCTCCAAAGCCAGCTCTGATTCAGGGTTGCTGATGTAGTCACTGCTCATAGTGAGGCACAGACTCACTCAGTGATGGGGTCAGTTCCATTTTGTAATGCTCTATATCCAGACCTCACAATGCAAATGCATAATAAACTACCCCACAACAAGGCTGCATCCTAACCCCTCCTAGCTAGAGATTTGGTTAATCATAGCAGCCTGTCATCCCCAGGGCCTTCTGACTTGAGGAATCTTTCAGGCGGGCTGCAGTGCTTCTGTGACTGTCCCACTTAAATCTAAAGTCACTGGCCTTGTTTTGAGCCTTTGCAGGATAGCAAATGGCAGGGCAAGGCTTCCTTGAAGGAAAAATATCTGAAAAATGTAATAACACAAGTAACAGCTGTCTCCAAGACCCATAATAGGATTAGCTTTCAGGATTAACAGCCCTTTGTTGGATGGAACCGCTATAATACAGCACAATCGAAGAACTATTTTTTGCATCCAGCATTATTTTACTATTCATATCAATTAGTATTAGTGTAACATTACTACTGTTTCTCACGTGCATGTGAGGACATGTAAGACCTGGACCCCTACTGATACCATAGCATGGATGGACACACCATCTCCCCGTGACCCAAAAGAATACATTAGAAGCTAACATGCCAACAGATGAGTTGTGAAAAATGGCTGATCAGATTAAAAATAAAAAATGCACTTAGAGGCAAATGTTATGTAAAAATATTTGCTTTACAAAAGAAATAAGAACAAGCAAGCAACAAAAGACTGCAAGAAAGCAAAACCTTAGTTCCTCTCTCAAACGTTTCCTCACAACTCCATAGTGACTGACCTCAGTTGGAGGCTGCTGCTTTGCTCTGATTTTGCTATGACCATGGGAAATCTTTAATACAGGGCAGCAGCACTGTAATGCACAGCAGCTCAGTTTTTCCAGAGTGGACCTGTGAGCATTATTAGCCGGAGCAGATGGTTTACAAAGCAGTTCTCACTTCCCCTCTCTGGAGGAAAACTGAGCTGCTGAGGATCACACCAAGATGGACAAGCCAAAATGAGAGGTGGCACTTACATGGTGTCTGGGCAACAACGTGCTGATACAGCCATACTCTCTCTGGCCCAGTGAATACTTAAAATATGCAAAGTGGAACAGCCTGAAATATATCCACCCTGGCTTGGGAAATTACTGACTCATGGGAAATCCATGCTTTGAATCCCAAAGAGTGGCCAGAAGCAAGGCTATTTAGTCTTCGCTGTTATTTGTCACTCTTCCTCACAAAAATGACGGTTACAGGTTATGGTGTAGATATAAACATTAAAACTACCTAGGAAGTACTGTGGCAAGCTCTTATCCTTCTGTAATGTGATAGTTGGCTGAGCTTACCAGTGATCTTTTTGACTATTCAGCTATGAGTTCTATTCCCTGGTGGGAAGAGTTGAAAAAAGGAATTTGAAAATCACTTCACTAACAGTATAACAAACTCTTCCGGAATTCTCTGAAGAAAACATTGCTTTATCTGTTTCAGACAAGATAGATAGTTAAGCTGCATGGCCTCTACTCATCTCATTGGGCATCTCATCAGACAAATATTTTTATGACATCTAACAGAAACTCCAATTGTTCTCTCTTCTGCCTAGTGTATAGATTAATTAAGGTACTTTGTACCTTTTTTCCTGTATCTTCCCTCTCCTCCACCCATTCACTGCACATTTTGAGCAAATGCCATTACCACCTACAGGAGCTTTTGAAGTCCTTCTTTTTCATCCTCCGCCTCATCATTGTCCCACGTGGGCTGGTGGAGTAGAGGCTGCGAGGTAAGGTCCCCATGTTCAGGGAACTCAGGCTGTATGCACTCATGGAGGTAGGAGAGAAGGATGAAGACACCAAAGCTGCTGTAAGAAATCAAACACTTGGCATACAGCACTCAGTCTTCATGGAAGAGTGCGACACATGCCTGTAACTCATCAATGAATAAAACAATGTGTATGATGCACAGGAATGGTTTGTGCATTTCCAATAACAAAGACATTAAACCACACAGGTGACCCTAGGTAAAAGTAAAGTCAGCATTTCATGAAAATACCTGCTGGAAGCTAACAAAGATACTGTAGATACAAAAAGTACATTCATAGTATACAACTTGGCTTAGGCAAAGCATGTTAAATTAAATTTTTCAACACATATCCATGAAACAATGCAGATCAATATGTCTAGATACACCAATTTTAGAGATGCCTTTTTGTAGTAGGTAATTTCTGACAAAAGATTTGTAAGCAATATTCTGCATTCAAAGATTGTGCTTTATATAAACTACTCAAATCTAATGGTCTACTCATATGGCTGAAGAGCTGGTTCACTGAGAATTTTCAAGCCGTTTCCTGTCTACAAAGGTTGCCTTGTTACAGAAAGGAAAAGGCGTAAAATGTCAGAAATAACCTTGCCATGGCTATGAAAAAGTGTAGCATCCATAAAACTGAAAAGGTTTTAGTGCCTGAAATGGGAAAAGTACGAGTGAAAGAAGAAGGGAGGGAGGAAGAAGAAGAGAAGGAGAGAATATGTCAGCAGTCTAAGCCATTTAGCCTGGAATTCATGCTGTATATCTTCGGTTGTCTGAAATTTCAGCGCTTAGTCTCAGGGTGGTAGGTGTTATAATGGTGGTAGGTGAGGAGGCTGCTGTGGCTGTTGGCACGCGAATCCCAGGTAAGTTGCCTGTTGCTTCTTTGAACCTTCACTGCCCGCATGAAAGGATGATGGAAAAATCAGAAAACAAAAGGACCAGAGAAGAGGGAAAAGTAACTGAATTGCACAAACAAAAAAGAAGTAAAAAAAATGAAAATAAACCAAAATGAAATAATAAACAAACTGACCTTGTTCTCTTACCAGGGGGTGCTAACTTGAGGAACAGAAATAATATTTTTTCTCAGAATAAATGTTTTTGATTTTTGTTTTGTTTCCTTGTACTTATTTTTAAAAAGATCAGTACTGAATCAATTTCTAATTTCCCTCTGGCTTTAGGATCTAAGATTGCAAACTTCCTTAGAAAATACTAAGTTATTATATATGACCACTAACTGACAGTTAATAAGTCTCTCCTTGCATTCATCTACATTAAAAAATAAAACCAGATCCTATACATAGCACTGCCTAGAATGGAGAGGTTTACTTGCCAGTCATTTAAATTTACTGCATTGACATTTTAATTTTGCCACCATCTATTGTTAGCAGTATGCTACTCTCTGTAATAAATGACTTCCCTAGGCCACCAGCACACAAACTCTATCCTGAAGCCTGGTTAATAAAATAAACCAAAAACCTAGAGTTCTTTTTGATTAGTTGGATGTGCAATTTAATGTTTTTAAAACTTGGTCTTCAAAACTTTAAAATTATCATTTTCTGTATCAAAATAGAGACTGTATTTTATTGCCGATTCTAAGTATGGGGAGTCCGGGATATGCCAAAAGTGAAGGCCAGTATTTACCAAAAGAGCAGGAAGCATTTCAGCTGATGTGTCAAATACCAAAGGAAAATGATTGAAGTCACCTATCATTAAATACAGTGTAATCAT